CCCCCCCCCCCCCCCCCCCCCCCCCCCCCCCCCCCATTGATTTTCGGAGGCCTAAGTGTCTGGAGAAAATAACCGGTCTACATTTCAGCACGCCTCCCTGAAAAAAATTCTGGTTCCACCCTGCTAGCCCCCCCCCCCCAAATATTGGTCTAGAACCGCGCCTGCATTCATGCATTTCATTTTTACGGACTCAAAAATCGACTTCATTTGATCCTATACTGTATGTCACAGATGTTTTCCAATCTGGCTTTTCTCAGGAGAACACACGGCTGAAGCGGGCGACCTGGTAGACGGCGACAACGACATCATCATCTACATCGACGTGCAGATGTCGGACAGTGACCACAACGTGAACGGTTCCTACCACGCCTTAGAGAGCGGGGTCAGCCTGAGCCAGGGGGCGGTGGTCTGGGTGGCTTACTTCAAACTGGCCGTGATGAGAGACGGCACGGAGAAGCCGTCTCTCAATGTTTCACTCAACCACAACGGATCGACGTCAACGTATTCTGTTGGGTAAGTGTTTGGTTTACTTTTAATAGTCGAGAGGTTTCGCATGCAAACGGATACCTTTAGTGCGATGGATACGTCATCAGTTATGACATCATACGCCACTTAGTATCAGCTAAATGTGCAGACGACACGCATATCTCGCTCGCTACACGTAAGTAAAAAACGGATACGGATTTGCTAAACGTAAGTGTAAGCGTATCCGTTCGCTTGCGAAAGCTCCCTAATAAGCCAGTTCAGTATCTCAATTGTGTATGCACACAATGATATGGCCGATCATGGGTCATTTGGGATAATCCCCCCCCCCCCCACTTAAAAAAGTCGGGGGGGGGGGGGGGACTTGTCCCCCCGTCCCCCACTGATTGTCACACATGACGCACGCGTTCAGAACATGCAGTCTAGCATTGAGTGACACGTGCATTCCCATGTGCGCAGTGGTCGCGAGCCTTTGGATCAGTCTATTCTGCAGAAAGGTTATTGTACAGACTCCAATTGATATATTTTCAGGGACACGGTCTGGTACCAAGTAGACGTCAGCCACAACACCGATTCCTATGCCGAGGCAGTCAATGTCAAAGGTCACGTATTCCTGCCACCCTACATTCAGTTTGACGGCATGACGCTCAACTACAATCTGAGCAGCAAGCAGCCGGACGTCATCCCGTCAAACGACAACACTGGATTCTACTTCACGGTAAAGAGCACGGGAAGAGAATTTGGGTTATTAGACATCTTTCTTAATAACTACAGTTTTTCCCAACATGATGCTGTTGGTGTAACTGTTGGTGACCATTGTTAAAGGAAAAATCAACCAAATTACTCGCACAATAACAACAGCACCTGATTCATCAAACTCTTCGTAACTTACGATGCATCGCAGATCTGCGACGCGTCGTATCCCTACGATGCGTCACAGCTGCGACGCGTCCTGCGATCCATTTCACAAAACACGTCGTAAGTGCGACGCGTCGTAGGTGTATTTATAGCACAACTCGGTGACTGTTTTATGTATTAGGTCAGCGTACAGTAAATAGTCGTCTGATATGCAACAAAGAGTTGTCGGATCTCCGCTCAAAATTTGTTAAAACGTAAAAGAAAATGGTGGTTGTGCGATACAATTTTGAAGAAAACAAGCTCTCATGGACTGTAAAGCTACTTCGAAATTTCAACTGCAATATTCCAGTCTAATTCATAAATATTCAATGAATTTTCTATTTACAACTTTACACACATTGCCTCGGTATTATAATCTCATTGATGTAATGTTCATGGCATTAAACTGGCTAAGAAATGGACTCTTCTTATTTTGCGATGACCACTAGACACGTCGTAACTTGCGACGTGTTTTAAGCTAGTGTCTAGGAACTTACGACGCGTTCAACACATTGCAACTTTCGTGAAATGGATGATACGACGCGTCGCAAGTTACAACGTGTTACACGTCGTAACTCGAGTTGCGACGCGTCGCAGCGCGTCGCAGCGCTTCGTGAAATCGGGTGCAGGCCTCACAGCGAACCCTTCAAAACCTATAAAACCTATGAAACCCTATATTTCAACTTGAAAGCCTATTGTGTTTTTGAAGTAACCTCTATATTTATTCTGTCATACATTTTAACAATTTTTAACGATTTTAACAATTATGAATTCGACCCATAGTTTGCTGTATTGCTACTTCCCCGAGCATCCTGAAAAATTGCACGGTTTTGCACCCTAAAAACCTATAAATGCCTATAATTTGGGATTTGGAAAACCTTTAAAAAGTATGTTTTGAATTTCAAAAAGCTATTAAAAAACACGTATATATTGATGAAGACGGGCATTGAGAGGCCTGTAACTCACAAAATAGGATTCACTCATTATCTAGAAACAAATATTTGGCGCATTGATTTGAGTCGACCTTTTGGAAAGATAAAGTGTCATAGCCTAGCGGTTAAGAGCACCGGACTTATGTTCTGGTGTTTCAGAGGCAACAGTGACGTGGGTTCGAGCCCGCCAGCGGACACTTGTGCCCTTAAGCAAGGCACTTAACCATTATTGCTTCGTCCTTCGGATGGGATGTAAAGCCGTAGGTCCCGTGTGTTGTGTAATGCATGTTAAAGAACCCAGTAACACTTGTCGCTCAGCGAAGGGGTTCGCCCCGGTGTCCTGGCAGTGGCCGCAGCACCTTATAAACCCTTATAATGTGCTACATAATGGGTCTCATATTTCTCATGTACTTCATTCATCTAATAATAGACATAACTCCCAGTGCCTTGAGTACCTATGTACTCCGTTGCCTGAATAGGTTTCTGCAACGTAACCATACAGACACAGATACAGACAGACTAATGTTGCCTTACTCCACATGTAGAGACAAAAACTTTCCTTTCCTTTCTGTAACCAGGTACCCAGGATGTTCTTCACGGACCGCGTTGCATTGACCATCGAGACCACCATTCAACCAACCTACCGCTACAAGCTGACCAAGAACTGGAAGGGAACCACGCCCATCGAGGTAAACATGACAGCTTAACAGGTTGACTTGGTGGTTCCAATACTGTCTGGTCTAAGACAGTGATTTTTATTGCGGTAATGGTAGGGGGTTATTGCGCTTGCGTCAAGCGTTGCGTACGGACGATCGGAAGGGACACGCAATGTATATGCACATATGAAAAGGGACGTGCATTACCTATATAAAGTCAATTTTTTGTGAAACACATGACTATAAATTTGAGTCTTCATCTAATTCTGTTGGTATTTCCCTGACGCCCAGTTCTCAATGAAATATCCTTTCTCCAAAAGAGGTTTGGGAGTTCGTGGCGCAACTTGGGATTTCAAGAAATATCCATTTTGCTTCATACATGGGCATTTCACTGTTCCGAAAAAGACTTCAGAAAAGGATTCTTTAAAATCTAAATTGCAGGTGTTATTTTTGTTTTTATTGGCTGTTCATCATCTTAACTGATTACGTAATTATTTTTGAATAAATACTAATTTGCATTATTAATATTGATGAAACGGAACAGTGTTAACTTTGGTCAATATTCCTTTATATGAAATAATCTCTCAAAGGGCGATACACAGGCTTGCTCAATTTTTAGAAAGATAGCAGCAGTGTTTTATTGCAAGTTGCTCATGTGTTTCTTTACTTTAGGTCATATATTACATGACGGTCTATGATCCAAACTACTACGTTGACGGCCAGTACTTCAACGAGCCTATGGACTATACGACTTTTGACTTCACCGTGCCCTACCCAGATATACCAGGTAAGAAAGTCTTGCCATTAAGTACATAGCTTTGGAAATTGTGTAATGAGTGTCATATTGGGGGAGACCATCGGATGAAGAGGCATTCAAACACATCGCCGATGACGCATGATGCTCACGCACAAACACTTGGGCTTGTTGCACATTCAGAATAAAATAGGTCGTGCGTACTTAGCGCTGTATGCGCGCGAACCAGTACGAACGTATAAACACTGCCTTATGGGGCACCGGAACAATTGGAGGTACCCCACAAGGAATGCCCACTGACTTGCGGGGTACCGTTTTGGTACCCCACAAGTTTTTCACGAAATAGATATATGGATTTTACTCAAAAAGTAGGAATTTCCAAGGTGGGTTGATCCGTCGCAAATGGAAGAGTTTTAGAAAAGGGATATTAAGTCGGAATTTCAGCCCAGGAAATTAATTCTGGTTAAAATAAGAGCATTTTGAAATTAGTAGGGAGGTTTCGCAAGCGAACGGATACGCTTACACTTACGCTTAGCTATCCGTATCCGTTTTTTACTTACGTGTAGCGAGCGAGATATGCGTGTCGTCTGCACGTTTAGCGGATAGTGAGTGGCGTATGACGTCATACGTGCAGACGACACGCATATCTCGCTCGCTACACGTAAGTAAAAAACGGATACGGACAGCTAAACGCAAGTGTAAGCGTATCCGTTCGCTTGCGAAACCTCCCTATCGTGCGACATTGCAACATTTTAGTACACGAGAACAAAGAAAGTACCCCACTTGTATGTGTGAGCTTGTCTGACATACGCAGTGTGGACTTTCGAACAAAACATGTCCACATAATGTAGGTAAAACAGGTTTAGAGGCATTTTTGGGTTAGGTTTATCTGTAGCAGAATGAAGAGAAACACTTAAGGGAATCATAGAAAAAAATTGGGTGGAAAGAGTTTTCACAGTTTGAGAAAAATGAGTTTTTCCACTGGTGTTCCTTAACTACACGAAAAGAAAGGAAAGTCCACACTAGGTATGTGAAACAAACGTGTGTGTGTAAGCGTGTGTGTGTGCATGTGGTGTGTCCCGGATCTTTTCATGGGCCTCCCAAAAGTGGTAGAAAAGCGCCCTCCTTTGTTGGTGCACGGAGCCCATAGTGCCGTGGAAGGTTTCTGATGTGAAGGCACTACAAAGGTGTTAAGGGAGGTTTGAGTTGCTGATAAACGAAATGAGTATGAGTGTTTTAGAGACAAAGTGGGAACATTGAACATTCAGGATCTTCTTTTCTCACTTCCCCCTCTATGCCAATTGTTTTGTTCAGTCCTTTCTTACAACTATCATTCTGTGGGGCTTTCCTCCCATCTAGCTGTACATTGTTTTCTTCTCAATCCAGCAATGAGACTTGAGGGACAACTGTTCCAATTAAAGCACTAAGGATCAGACGGAAATAAAAAAAAGAACTTCACCATGCGACAGTTTTTTACCAAAATATATCTTGGCAGTTAAATGCTTTATCCAATTTATGCTTGTTCAGTCATCTTTTCTTTCCTTGAAGTTTGTTTTTGTGTGAAGAATGTCAAATTGATTTAACTTCTGTTTTGCCTGGTTTGAATGTTATTCCCAAAGGCCAAACTTTGTTACCTACATGTGACAGCCCAACAGCCTTGGGAATGCAGGTTGGAAGCATACAAGACTGCCAGATCACTGCTTCATTCACACCAGACCCAACTAATGCTGCAGGACATGGTGCAAGGCTAAATGGACCTGGTAGGTTGGGTTGGGTCGGGTCGGGTTGGGTTAGGCTGGGTTAGGTGCTTGGGATGGGATTGGTTGGGTTTGGGTTGGGCTGGGTTGAGGTTGTGTTGGGTTAGGTGGTTGGGTTGGGATTGGTTTGGTTTTGTTGGGTTGGGTAGGGCTGGTTGGGTTGGGTTGGGCTGGGCTGAGCTGAGTTGGGTTGGGTTGGGTAGGGTTGGGTTGGGCTGGGCTGGCTTGGGTTGGGTAGGGTAGGATTGGGATGGGTTGGGTAGGGTAGGGTTGGGTTGGGTTGGCTGGTTGGGTTTAGGTGGTTGGGTTGGGATGGGCTGGGTTGGGTTGGTTTGATTAAGGCTGGTTTGGGTTGAGACAGGATGTGCTTGGTTGGGTTGGGTTGGTTTGGATGCAGTGGGTTGGGTGGGGTTTGTCTGGGTTGGACTTGGTTTGGTTTTGTTGGGTTGGGTAGGGCTGGTTGGGTTGGGTTGGGCTGGGCTGAGCTGAGTTGGGTTGGGTAGGGTTGAGTTGGGCTGGGCTGGCTTGGGTTGGGTAGGGTAGGATTGGGATGGGTTGGGTAGGGTTGGGTTGGCTGGTTGGGTTGGGTCAGGTGGTTTGGGCTGGGTTGAAGTTGTGTTGGGTTAGGTGGTTGGGTTGGGATGGGCTGGGTTGGGTTGGGTTGAGTAAGGCTGGTTGGGTTGAGTCAGGCTGTGCTTGGTTGGGTTGGTTTGGATGCGGTGGGTTGGGTGGGGTTTGTCCGGGTTGGACTTGGTTTGATTTTGTTGGGTTGGGTAGGGCTGGTTGGGTTGGGTTGGGCTGGGCTGAGTTGGGTTGGGTAGGGTTGGGTTGGGTTGGGATGGGTTGGGTAGGGTAGGGTTGGATCGGGTCGGGGTTGGGGTGGTTTGAGTTGGGTTGGGATATGGGTTGGGTTGAATTGGGGCTTGAGTTGAGTACAAATGTGGCATTGAATCTATAAACTTCATGTCATGTTTACTTGAGTTCTACGGCTTAAAATGTTTTTTAGAATTTTGCTAAGTTCAATTAAGAAATGGAATGAATCTGACTTGAATGCAATTACAGCTTGGAAGACCCAAGCCCGAGCTGGTCCATTCCTCTACGATCGCTGGATAAAGATTGACCTGGGAAAGAGGGCGTTTGTCACTGGTATCCAGACCCAAGGAGGAAGCAGTGCGAATGCCGACGGGGACCTGGGAGAATTTGAGATCCTGTACAGCCTGGATGATACGCTGTATAAGGCCGCAACTCCATCAGATAACAAAGTGGTAATTCTTTAACTTTGTACAACTTTCAAATTTGATGAGATCAATAGAAGCTTGAACTTCAAGAGCTAACCGCGCTAGCAGAGAAGTTCTGTGCTAATCGGTAATCACAGACTCCTTAGTTATGAGACATACGCATGCACAGAAGCAAAAATTCCTCACTAACGCCTGAAATTTTCTGCTACAGTAAGCAGGGATTTTTCGGTAACTGTAAGCAGAGTCAGGAAGTTGGGCCCCGACTTTCAACATTGACAAAAAAAATTCACATTTAAAATTTGAATCTGAAAAATAAGTTTGTATCTGTAGTGTTTTTTCCCATTTATTTTCCGGATTTTTGTTGGAATCAATTTTTATTTTTACTTGTTTTTTCTTCAAATGGCGGCTGATGACTGCAAATGATGCCCGACTAAATTTAGTGCAAAACGTATGGGAGCCCAGTGAGGCCACATAAAGCTTATACTTTATTGTAATCCCATCTAAAAACACGTTAAAATTGTGCAGCAGCAGGATTCCAGTCAAACCAGTGAGTTTGGCGGTTTTGAAACATCATCTTCCATTGAACTTTTAAAATATATTTTGCCGACCTGTATGGCTACGGCGACACGTGCGCAGACCAGAAACTGGAGCCTATTTTTTGGGCTATACCTAAAAATATCAAAATCAGACAAAAAATAAAAAAACTACTGATTTTATACAAGGGGATAAATGAGGCAATGAAAAAAATTAAAGAAATATAAGAGATACAAAAAAAATATTCCATTAATTGTGGTCTAATAAAAGAGAGGACCGTATTACTATTAAACACAGAGAGCAAACAAAATGAACACTTGAATTCTTTTTTAGTTTGACCACCAAAAAGACGCCCCGGCCGACCACGACACAATAGTGACCCACACCCTTCTCATACCAGTAGAGGCTCGCTACGTCATCGTCAACCTGACTGCATACGACTACACGTCCCAGGCCAAGTGGTACAATGCACTCCGGCTGGAGATATTGGGATGTGAGATCCCAGACTCGATAGCGACAGGTAAGAGACTACCGGGCCCGATTGCACAGAGCAGACATGCCAGTTCTCAGGCTGTGGGCCAACAAGAGAGGGCACTGTTTTACCACTTCAAAGAGCCCCTCGGACGGGACACTCCGTATTAGCATACTGGTTCCTGAGCATCTGCTCCGTTCACAGGTACCCCCTCACCGGCAAAGAAAGTACAGTTGGGGGTGACCGACTGACGCCATCTTGCCTGACTGCAATTTTGTCGCAACACGTGGCCGTACCACTGCGTGTACATAGTACAAATCCCCTGGTGTACGTGCTTCACACACAAGCTAAATGTCCCGCCCATGGGACGTCGTTGCTAGGTAAAAGGGCGCCCTCTTTCGTTGGTGCATTTTCTCTGAATGTGCACAAAGCCATAGTGTCTTTGCGTGAGCGTCAGGGGTGGTCAGCATTCATTCGAATGTCACTCCAAGTTGTCTTTCCAACTCCTGAATAGTTTCTCTTTTCTGCCGCCCAGGAATACAAACTATTTTAGTTCCTCCTGGGTCCAATCCTTTGATTATGGCATAACTGAAAACTGTTACCATATTCCACCCTACAAAGCCTTGAATTCCATTACAGCTTTAAAAAACACCCCTTTTGTTCGACAGATACCTGTCCGACATCTGCAACCCCTGTGATCACTCAGCCCTATCAGCGAGGCTTCTTGGCTGACGTATCTACAGACACTCTCTTTGTGTGCGATACCATCCCCCACGGTAAGAGTGGGGTTCGCAAGGAGATCCAGGCATCAGTCTATGCATTCCTCTGGAAGTAAGTAGTCAACTTGAGGTTTTTGTAGTTCCCAGAAGGCCAACCTAGTGTTAGACTTGATGGCAAGTCGTTAGACTATAGCGGTTTATGTCCGTCATCAGCGCCAGAATCCGCATACCGGCCATGCCACCGCCGTTCACGCAACGTGAGCGCTACAACCATTCATGCAAAAGTCATGTACATGTACGATGTACATACACGTACACCGCGCGGCATGGTCAGTCCGTGTATGCAGTACACGCATGGGATCGCACACACATGGGGTCGAAAATGTACGTAGCGTCCCCGCTACTAGGACAGCATGCGGTATGTCGTACCCCCGGCACAGGGCTTGGCAGTCGCGCGCGGCGGACGCGATTAAAACCACTCATTACAGACTTGATTTCAATGCAGTACACGCATGGGATCGCACACGCATGGGGTCGAAAATGTACGTAGCATCCCCGCTACTAGGACAGCATGCGGTATGTCGTACCCCCGGCACAGGGCTTGGCAGTCATGCGCGGCGGACGCGATTAAAACCACTCATTACAGACTTGATTTCAATGCAGTACACGCATGGGATCGCACACGCATGGGGTCGAAAATGTACGTAGCGTCCCCGCTACTAGGACAGCATGCGGTATGTCGTACCCTCGGCACAGAGCTTGGCAGTCATGCGCGGCGGACGCGATTAAAACCACTCATTACAGACTTGATTTCAAGTCTAGCCTAGTGTCTGCTTTGTACTTATCTCACTGACTGACTGACTGACTCCCCGACTGACTGTTACTTGTGAGTCGGGCAGTGCTGTTGTATAGGATCATCCTGTAACGTCAATGAATGGGCTAAATCCACAGACATCTGAACACATAGACCGCCAGGTCCTATTCGAAACTACACGCGCATTTCGTGATTTCGCGGCGCCAGACTAAAACCCAAACTATGGGCAAATTCACCTCTCGGTATAGGGATTTGACACCACCCAAACTGTTCCATTAAAACAATTCTGTGAAGTTATTTTTCGATTGTAAAAAAAATCCCTTGTGTACTTTAGATTTAGGTAGATTAAAAAAACAATAACATGCACAACTTTTTTCCAACGGATTGTGAGCAAAACAGCCTTTTTAACTCAGAAATTTATGTTCTGTATGTAAATGTATGTACTGTACTAAGCGCGTATCTGCATTGAACCGCATCACGTGATTACGCGCGCTGTCAACAAGCGTTTTGCCCATACTTTTTCAAATCACGGTTTTAAATGCACGACTGACGGTCCATGCGTTTATATGGCTGTGGCTAAATCCGGTCCATTGTGTAGACCAGATGCAATGAAAAGACTTCCAGTGAATAGCCGTTCTGAATCGACTGGCTAGAACTTTGTGTGCTCTGGGACCGGCTTTACTACATGTGTTTTCAGATATTTCCTTACGTACTACAAAAGTGAGGCATTAGTGGGGTGCTGTGGTCCAATGGTTACGGTGTTCGACTCGTGTGCCGTGGTACATGGGTTCGAATCCTGACCGTGGGAACATGGTGCTTGTGCTCTTGAGCAAGGCACTTTACCATTATTGCTTTGTCCTTCGGATGGGACGTAAAGCCGCAGGTCCCGTGTGTTGTGTAATGCACATTAAAGAACCCAGTAACACTTATCGCTAAGAGAAGGGGTTTGCCCCTGTGTTTCTGGCAGTGGCTGCAATATGCGCCGCAGCACCTTGTAAACCCTTATAAGGTGCTACATAATGGGTCTCATATTTCTCCTAAACTTGATTTACCTTTCTTTAATAATACACATATCTCCAGCGCCTTGAGTACCTAATAGTTGGTAGATACGTGCGCTATCTAAGACTCCGATATTATTATAATTATTGTTATTATTATTATTATTCTGGCAAAATGAGACAAAACAGGGCAGAGGTTGAAATGAGGGTTTGCGTGTATTAGAAAAGAGACTAAAAATTCTCCTTACAGTACTGTATGTTGCGCCTCAATCAGACATTCCGTTGACAAGTTTATTATTGAAAGTTCATATAAATCGACAGGTCAAAAAAGTAAAAGGCCTTTATTAATTAACGGTTATGAAGTTGAGAAAATGAAATTTGTGTGTGTGCATTTTTTTAACACTTTTCCGTCTCCTATTGCCAGAACTCACATTTTGTCAATTTTTTGGGCCACATTGTAACCTACAATCCTGGCCAAATCTCGCTGGGCCCCTAACCCCCCGGTCCCCGCTAAATGTCGTCTCTCATTGCGCGGTGTGTGCTCCAAAAGCTGGAGAGAACAACATTGACCGGGGGAGCGGGGGAGTGGGTGACCGTGGCAGGCTCAGGAAGTGTCCCAACCATTTTGGCCGGGATTGTGAGCTTGTTCATAGAAGATAAAGTGTTTCAAAAGGCATTTCTGATTTTGCACCGAGTTGATCGATCTGGTTTTTTTTGTGTTTGGCAGAAAACCGGACATGCATTGCTTCATGATGATATATGCTGAAAAGCAGTGGACCGGTAAGTTATAAAATGGCTTGGCCATGATGTTGATGCTGGAAGCACTGATCTCTATATAAAGACTGGATAGCGGATATGCATACAACATTCACACAGTAGACTTTGCATATTGACCAATTCGCCCCCGGTCTCACGAAGATGGCCGCGTATAATGCGAACGTTCTACGCGTAAATACGCGCGCGTTGTATCAACAGTTGAAGTGCATTTTGGTCACGTACACATATTATGATGTTCTAAAATGGACACATTTCCGTAGTGATTATTATTTCAAAACGCCGAAAAATTTATATTTGCGGCATTTTAGTAACCACGACGTTAGAAAAATTGTAGTTAACCTTGGTCAGTGGTGGTGGTCAAAATATAAGTCAAGTGAACCGCGACGTTACAAAAGAAATCATGCTGTCTATAAAGACGGCAACTTGTCCTTTGTAGATCACCAGCCGGTCTCACCAATATGGCGTCAAATTCGTACATTGTGCGGCTCTGTATTAGCTATCCAGTCTTTATATAGAGATCAGTGGCTGGAAGCTTGGAAGCTTTACTCTATCAATGCAAGACGTTATTGCTAGACTATGATATCATTGATCAGACTTAGTCGCATTAAAGCCCCTGTGACATAGTAGCGAATAGAGCTAACTTATGCCTAGCGTACTGAATTTGTTTCTCGAAATTTGGTAAAGTCCAGATGCGCTCAAATTCTCGGCCAAAATCTGTTTTGTAGTGAACTCCTGACGTATAAGACGAATGCCCAACGAATGAGGAACGGATGCTGAGCATATAACGAGCGTCCATATATAGTAACGAATGACAACACATGCGCAGCGTCCATCCAACGCATGCTGAACGTACACAACGAAGGGCCAACGTATGCCTAGCGTGCTGCGGCTGGTCCATAAATACGCTGACCCATAAATACGCTCTCCAAGTCCACGTGCACAGTGGATCTGTCCATTGGGTTCAAGATGTAACCATCCATTCTATCTTGCCCAGGTCTGGATCCCCGACTGCGCAACATCGTCGGCTTCTTGCCCAGCACTGGCAAGCTGTACGGCATCATGGACAATTCTCCCGACTCCTACGCCGCCAGTGACAAACCCTACACCAGCTGGTATCTGATTGAGAAGAGCAACTACGACGTCGCGGCCGCAAGTGTTGGCTTCGTTAGCAGCATCGCGGTGCCGTTCGTGTCCAATTCAGGGTTTAGTTATTCCAATCCTGACAATTTTGCCAGCTCTGTGTACGCTATCGGTGACTGGAAAGGTATGTAATAATACACAAATGATGATTGTTTGAGTGCAATGGTAAGAATAATGTCATTGACAGATTCGCCGAGTGGAATGAAACATTCCATCTGTCACCAAATTAAATTAATGAATGGGAGGTTTGCGGTAACACCATGTGAATGATATCTCTTTGTGAGTTGTGTGGTTCTGAAAAGAAGCAGTTGGCTTAACTCGACCTTTGGAACAGTATGCTCTGGTTGTCATCAGGAGACTGATGACAGGAGACTGATGACTTTTGACGGGATGTCTCCTGATGACAAACAGAGCATTCTGTTCAAAACGTCGACTTAAACCAACTGGTTCTTCTCAAAACCACGCAACTCACAAAGACATATCATTCACATGGTGTTACCGCAAACCTCTCATGCATGGATCATGTCCACCATGTACACCCTTAAGTCGGGAATCCTTATCTTTAGGACACCTCTATACTTTATGAGTTTTGTTCAAAACTGACTTTTGCAGATGATTGTCCAGTACCAAAGTGACCTTTGCAGGCTAAAGCAGTTCTTTTTTCTTTAGATAAACTCATGTTAAAATTGTTAGTTGTAATTTTGAAAGCACTTTCAAAGAAAATGTGACTTTCCTACCTTTTTTTGCAGTTTGCCATCTTAGTTTTTGAGTCTGTTTCCTGTTTGTCGTCGTCATCTTTACCCCCTAATTTCCCCCATGAATGATTAAATCAAAGCCCTGCCCTCTTTCCGCAAAATTAAACCTGCTGATATTCAAGAAGTTGTCATTGTCAACTGTTCAAATGTGTCAAGAAATATCAGAATGGCACTTTTGAGTGTCATTTAGTCAGCTTTTTGGGAGCGAGTCTTTTAACCTTATAATAGGAATGGGGTCCCAAAGGTAAGGATAAAAAGTCTCATTTAACCAAATGAAATTATTCTTTCCATTGCACGAATGTGAAACATTCATTATTTGTTTGATAGAATGCTTGAATAAATACTCATCACCTGATTGGTAACTTGTCAAATGGTACTATGAATGTACGGAATCGGAGCCATCACAACCAATAGTGTAATGGAAGTTATATTAACCCCTTAAGCAGGACATTCCTCCACACATAGAGCAAGTGGCCCGCATGACTGCACAGCCTTTGTGTGGTAGCGGGACTGCACAAAAGCAGCAGCTGTGGAACTACCCACTAGCCGTGTGCCACGGCATACCACAGTTGGCAACTGCATTCCAATCAGGATTAGCGGCCGCGGCCATGACCGCTTCCCGTGCGCATGGGGTTAACTGTGGAATAGAACTTTTTTGCTGTGTGGTCGTGCTGTGCGTTGGGATGAATAATTCAATGACACGTGAGCAACAACCCACCAATCAGATGGCGGGGATTTGTTCAGGTGATGTGTCATAGTTTCTAACCTGTGACAAATGTGATAATAAGAGTGTGCAAGTTGACCTCCTTAACCTGCGAGATTTGACGGGATTAAAGCACACCCGGGAACCATGTATGGGCTCCGTGCACCAACGAAAGAAGGCGCCCTTTTACCTAGCAACGACGTCCCATGGGTGGGACATTTCGCTGGTTGTCGGACACCGTTCCTTGTGTGTGGACGCACGTACACCAGGGGATTTGTACTATGTACACGCAGTGGCCGGCAAATGAATTGCAGTCAGGCAAGATGACGTCGGTCGATCACCCCCAACTGTATTTTCTTTGCCGGTGAGGGGGCACTTGTGAACGGAGCGGATAGGACCTATTTTTTTTACATTTCTTCTGTGTCCTGACTACGCTTATTAAATCAAGGGCAATAAATGGGTTCCGTGACAAACAGAGAGGATATTGTGAATTGATGACTATCATAAAATTAAAAATGTTTACCCCAACTTCCGTTCAATTGATCACGCAGTATAAATTGATCAGCATATCAGGTTACTGGGACCATTACACTGGCTACAGCCAGCCGGTCGTGAAATACTTGCCTGGGGCTACTGCTCTTTTGGAAAGTAGGTTATATGTCCAATTTTTCTTTGACTTTCTTTACAGCAACCATGAGTGGAATCTACAAAGGTTCTGAGAAGGTCATGGATTGGAACGAATGCTGCCAGCCGACCTGCTCGGCTAACGGTGGCCCGGACAACTGCTCCTAAATATGGACAGCTAAAGGGTGAAGTCAGTTGCTTACGATTTTCTATTAAAAATCACGAAATGCACTTTCGTCATTCGCTATATTGCGCACGTTCAATTTACATTCATACAATTAGAGCACGGGAATTATAAATGTGCCTTTTTAAAATCATTGAAATGTTAACAAAAAATAAAGCTATGTGTTCAAGATTAGTTCTTGATACTATTTTTTTCTCTAAAAAGTAACTGCGATATGTATAGAAAATGTTGCACATTTTGAATGTGTTTCTGTGTTATTCACAGTGTTGTGCCTTATTGTAAATAGTCACCGACAAATTAGTGCGGAGAAATACTTTATTTTAAGAATTATATCAAGTTGATGTATAAATTTATAAATGTAACTAAACACCATTAGTTCTGCTGTATTTTGAGAAACCAAGTCTGCTTTGTATTGCACTTTGTTGATCGGAACGCAGTAAAAATAAATAAATTGTAATGCTTATATAGCGCTTTCCATCGTATCAACAATCTCAAAGCGCTTTACAATTATTCCCCCGTTCATCAGGCCACGAGACCACGCGACAGCTGATATCAGTGCACAATCAGTCCTCGACTCTCACAGGTACCCATTCATACTCCTGGGTGGAGAGAGGCAATTGTAGTTTAGTGTCTTGCCCAAGGGCACAAACACCATGTTCCTGGCAGGGTTCGAACCCATGTACCACTGTACATGAGTCAAACACCGTAACCACTTGGCCATGGCATTCTACAGTAGTAAACAAGGGAGCATGTTCCTGGCAGGGTTCGAACCCATGCACCACTGTACATGAGTCAAACATCGTAACCACTAGGCCAAGGCATTCTACAGTAGTAAACAAGGGACCATGTTCCTGGCAGGGTTCGAACCCACGTACCATCGTACGTGAGTCAAACACAGTAACCACTTGGCCATGGCATTCTACAGTAGTAAACAAAGGACTTTTTTGTTCTAGAAGTGATAATTTGCAAGATGCAAAGACAAAAATGGGGTTAAAATAAAAGGAAGCGAGACAAAACATTTTATTTTTGAAAGTATTAACGATTGGAATTTATTACTACAAATGTGTAAAATTTGATATACAGTTATATGCATGTACAGAGAATTCCAAAAGCATGTTAACGCATTGTACAAATCAGTAGAACGTCAACGTTTTCGTCAGAAAAGTGTAAAAAGTTTGAGAAATATTTTTAATTACACTATGCCAAAACAAGATGGTAAATTTCTCTTACTGTATGCAAAATACCAGAAATGGATTGTACAACTTTTAATATTATCTGTAAAACTTTAGTATAATTAATGATTACTTAATCATCTAGCTTCATAGTTTCTATGTTTATATGCAATATTATAGTTATTCCACGTTATGTGTACTTTTTCCTCACTGCAGTGAATGAGATTATATTTGAACCAAAATCACCCTTTTCTCTCAATTGACCACACATTTGAGCACGGTTCTGAGATGGGACTCTGATTGTTCACTTGCCCTAAAATTATTTAACACTGTTGCAATTTTTTTTATATGAGAGAAATATGACTGGAGGATCATTTAAATTTAAAAAAAAATCCACCATGCTTGCAAAGGCAACTTGTACAACAAAGCGAGCTCGCTAGCCTTTTAAGGAGAGAGTCCCATGAGCAATAACGTTACAATCCTTGATCAGTGCTATGCAACTGAGCAAGATAATTAAGCAAGATACATCTATTTGGCCTACAAAAACATTTTTTCAGCAACTTAGGGATAAATATATACAAGTAGAACCAAGCTAAATATTGACACACGTAGTGCAGCTTCCTAAGATGGAATTTTGCATCGGGGTGATGTTAATCAATATTAGCTTTTTGCCCTTCACCAACGTTTAAACACTGTATACTCAGTGTGTTACCTCCCGAGTGAAAGTTGGAAAAAATCACTCGGGTGGGACTCAAACCCACGACCTCCTGCTTTCTAGTGCAGATGTCTTATCAACTGAGCTACTTTTTAGTGCAGACGTCTCGACCACCGAGCTTGCAGGATCAGTTGGCCAGTTCGAATCTGATGTACATGTACCGTAACAGCGGGTACAGCAATTAAACTATTCATACGATAGAATTTGCAACCAATTCTTATTTAAATGCATAGTGCAACTTCGTTCCCATAGTATAAGATCAATGCATTTTCAAAAATCTTGCACATTAGGAAGTCTGGTGCCTGGCTGTGCTTTCAATCAGTGCTTGTTTTTTGTATGCGGCGTCTGGGGTACAACACAATCAATTTGTCGCGGTGTGAAATCCGAAAACACAATTTTCTTCATATATATGTAAAATGTTACAATCTTATCCAGCCAATATGCAGTATCGCATTACATATTATTACAAGCAAAATGGAAAAGGGGAGTTGTTTTTGAGGAAGTTTTGAAGTAATAATTCACATTGAATGATAAAATACGTAAAACACATTGGAAATAAAGTACGCGATATAAATCCATGACTTGCTATTGCTGTATCCAATCAGGAAACAGGATGCAAGTTTCTGAACCAGGGGTTGAAAAAGTAGCCCTGGGGTCGAGGTTGTACTTAGTGCCAATATTTTAAAAGAAAAAAAATTAAGATTAGGGATGTTTATGTGCAGAGTTTTGTTTTTCCGAAATGCTAATAATTTTGGTCAAATTTTGTAAATCTTTAAATGCACTGTCTTAGTCTGTGTAACATCAGAAGTTATGCCTAGAGGCAAAGAAAGGAGTAAAAATCATTAAACTTTTTGAGCGTATTCTACACCTAAGCCACTTGGTTTCTGAGCTCTGTCTATTCTTATTGCATTTTGCTACATTCTGTGTACTTCCTATAGATACATTGCAATGCGGCCATATTTAAGGTACATGCAGGGATACACGAGTAGACATGTGAGGCATTACGAGACAGAACAGGGCATAGGTTGAAATGAGGGTTTGCTCGTATTATTAGAGAATAAAACTCTCCTTACAATACCGTTTTTTGAACTTCAATCAGGCGTTCCATTGACAAGTTATGGCTGTTGACAACTTATCAACATTTATCAACGTGTCAAAAAAGTGAAAATACTGAGAAAAAGGCCGTTAAAGTTTTGAGTTTTGTATCCGTAAAAATTTATGCCAATTGATTTCCCTTAAAAACACTTTTATTCCACATATTTTATACTATATAACATGTCTGAAAATCAAAAAAAAAAAAAAAAAACACCCCTTCAGTTTTTTTTTAGCATTATTCTCTGCTACGGCCTGTGCCCATTTTCGTCTCATTTTACCAGAATGCCTCATATATATTAAGCATTCATGGGTCTAGATTTAGCTTTGTGACTACCCAAGCCCAGTAAAGTTGATCCGTGAGTCATTTTTGTGCCATGCAGAGATGCCACAGGGTTTGCTTGAAAAAACTGGAACTGTGTCTGCTTGAAAAAAACAAAACAGCTGCTTGAAAAAGCCGGAACTTAATTTTTTTTTGGTAAAAAAAATACGAAGTCCCCGTTGTCATCTTCTCTTATAGCCAAGCCAAGCTCCATTTATTTTTTTTGCTTCTATGGCCTTTAAGCTGTCGGTTCGTTCAATCACTTTGATTTTTCCATATTCCTATTATTTTTTCTGCCTACCCGAATTTCCAACGTAATATTCGACACGAAACATCGGAAACACGCACGATTCCACAACACTGTCGGTGTACATGACCTTTGCACTACACGAAAATATGGTTGGTACCCGGCGTTTTTTTTGTGTTCACATATATCACTGCGATTAGGAACCATCGATAACTGAAATGATAGACTTGATTTCCAGGCTGAATGCTACGTGTGCTTAGCGCACAACACGCCCACACACGGTGCATGCAGCACGCGAGGCGCCGTTGTATACTGCGTGCAAGTATGTACATCGGCCGCCTGTATCGCATGCAGGCTCGGCAACAACAAAGACTTGTTTTTAAGACTACTTCAACGAACAATGTTGTGCCAGAGCGCTATTAAAAACGAGGTAAAAATCAATGCATTTCCAAAATTTTTCTGCTCTTTTTCCAGTTTTTTTTTTAGGCCGTAAACTGGAATTTGGTGAGATTTAAAAAAACTCAAAATTACGGTTTAAACCGGACAATGGCATCTCTGGCCTTGGTGTGACTGAATCAAGTCTAATTCACAAGTGACAGTCAGTCACATGGTACAATAACGACCCTAGGCTGGCCCTCTGGGACCAGCAAAGACACCTCCAAGATGGCCGCTGAATGCAAACAGTGTATCTTGATGGCTTACTTTGTTTGAGCTTGGTACGTCCTTGTTAGAAACTCTCACTGCACGACTCATCATCGCTGTCAGATTTCTCCTCTTGCCCCATAGTGGTCGTTGACTGCAAAAGCAATGGAAGAGAGAACATTTGTATTTAAAGGTATAGTCCATCATTTGTAATTTGTGCATTTTGTTCGTTTGAAGCAACAAAAATGCTTAAGATCTAAAGAATGGTGCTGAACAACTAACCTGATGAAGTTTCAGCTCAGCTTTAGCTGTATATTTCGAGAAAAACAACATTCTAGGATCTCATTTTCAAATCAAATGTTGCTGAGTCATGTTTTGAATTGGGCCTGAATTCAGCGTCCGAGACACGTTCTCCCTGAGCCGATTGCAGCTACGCGATGTCGCGCACTAATCCGACGAATTGTAGCAACCGCACGCGCGCGTGTGAGCATGCCAATGCTTGCGCGCGCTTCGCCTAATAACAAAACGAACTACTAATTTGAATTTCCTACGGTGCTTCTTTAGTTACTTTTTGGACAGCTGCAAATGATGGACTCTGGCTTTAAAGATGCGTACCCCATGCTCTTAAAAACATGGATTATTGTTTTCTCCTAACAACTTTTCAATTTGCATGTTTTGTTTTAAAGGGAATATACAACATCTGCTTCTGCTGTAATTTTCAGAAATGGATGGTTTTTGGGGTTAGTATTTTATAGCAAATATTGTTACACTGACTTGTTTGAAGTGTTGGATTAGATGATGCTGGAAAAATCATGCTCCTGTAGCAGGGCTCGAGATACCCACTGGACCATGGACCGTGTCTAGTGATTTCGGTGTCGGTCTAGTGCTGTGTATGACTGCACTAGTCCGGCTGTCTAGTGTTTTTTTCTTGCACTATATAAACAAAATGACGCTCAAATATACTAGCAGTTGAGGTCTGATTAATAGCGTGCTTTAAGTTCATTACTTGATTGATTAAAATTAACGACCAAAAACTCCATGTGCCATGCTGAAACGCAACGAAGCTGCCTGGCCAACGCGCTAGTCATGCCAGTAGCAGACATACGTACGTACATACAGTACATGTACGTTGATGCTCCGTTGGTACGATGTCGCCATGTCGCGCCACCACAACTTTGGTAGCAATACGTTGTATTTATATTACCACTGTATCTCCCTATTAAAGATATAGTCCATCATTTGTAATTTGTGCATTTTGTTCGTTTGAAGCAACAAACATGCTCAAAATCTAATGAAGGATACTGAACAACTAACCTGATCTTAGCTTCAGCTGTATATTCCGAGAAAAACAGCATTCTAGGATCTCAATTTCAAATCAAAAGTTACTGAATCATGTTTTGAATTGGGCCTAAATTGCGTCCGAGACGCGTTCTCACTGAGCCGATTGCAGCTATACGTGATGTCGCGCACTGATCTGACGAATTATAGCAACCGCGCGCGCCTGTGCGTCGTGCCAATGCTTGCGCGCGCTTCGCCTAATAACAAAACGAACTACTTATTTTAATTTTCCTATGGTGCGTCTTAAGACTTTGATTACTTCAAAGTGACAGCTTGCCAGAAAGATTAATTTTCACAGGGAGTTTAGTCCACTTACTATCTTTCAACCAAGTATGTTTTTCAACAATAATACGCCAGTTACTTTTTCAGATGGCTGCAAATGATGGACTATAGCTTTAAACGTCCAGGTTCACTGCAGGCAGACAAGCAGAATCCCTGTACTGCATGGGAATTAGTTGTAAGGTCTAGTTCCCAGACTTTTATGAAGCAAAAGACCATGCCCGCTGGCAACAGAATTAGACTAAGTTTCCAGGGGAACTAGCCAAGTGCACACACGAAACGGGTGACTTGTAAATGGCATTATTGTTGTATTCCTGTCACATAGTGCAAAATGTTTTTTTTCTTCTTATTTATAACACAGGTCTTGTAAAAATAGTTCCGGTCCAGTAAGATTCTTCAGTTACTAGACCTGCTGTCTAGTGCTTTTTTCCATGAAATTCGAGCCCTGCTGTAGTCTGGTTCCCTACCCCACTTAAGATAAAATGGAGCAATTTATAGACGTCGGGGAATTGTACAGTCAGGGAATCAGTATAGCTGGCTCGTACCCGTTCACAGGTGTGTAATCAATTGCAAGAAAATACGGACTAACTAAAATATGATAAATTGGGAGAAATATTTGAAAAAAAGCCAGTTTTTTCCAGCCAACCATCATTGGAAATTGAAACAAAAATAACACTTTTCTTGAAAACAATTGATGTTTGCAAATGTATATTCCCTTTAACCAAAAAATTACTTTATTTCGATTTTGGGGATCTGCAACCCCCATTTAATGCACAAATAACCCGCCCTACGAGAGTCGAATCATTGTCTGGCAACCAATAATTCAATTTTTGTGAAAAAATAATTGAATAACTAAATGTTGGTGGGTTTTTTTCCCTTCTTTTTTTGATGTCTCATTAAAAAGTAAATGGAAAAAATAAATTGAAGTGAAACTCCAAAAAGGCATGAGAATACATCTTTAAGAGGTTATCTGGGTGATCGATTCAATCTCTTGGCTCCATGGGGACTGCACTACACACCCAAAATAATTCCCCCCCCCTTTTTTTGAGGCAGTTTTTAGAAAGCGCGGCCTGGACAGTGTTGAAGTCAATTTGATCACAAGTCTTGACAAGTTCATCACAAGTCAATCTGAAATCACCCAGACCAAAGTTACGTCACAAGCTATTCACTCAACTGTGACCAAAGGCTTTCCTTTGTTTTATTATCCCATACTCACTGGCGTAGTTGTGACGCCACTACTCGGAGGTCAATTTGGTGCAACCATAGTTACTGGATCACGCGCACTACACCGGCTCAGTGAACGCTGTGGTTTCACTATGGCTGTTGTGAATCCGTTTCATAAATTGGCTTGATTCTCCTCTTTCAAGCAAAAAATAAGCACAACTGTTGGCTGTAACTGGTGTGGTGACAATCTGCTGAAAGGCAGCGATCCATTTTCAGGTACTAACTTGTGAAAATATTCTATGAAAGCAGGATGTAAAGTTGCTGTCTGTGATCGTGTGTGTTAAACGTGCGTGAAATTTGTCGTTATGGAATGCACATGAACCATTGTTGTGGAAGTGAGCCTGACCTGGGGGCGAATTTTCTTTTCCCAAACGACATCCGCATATATTGTTGTTTAGCGCCCTCTACGATACTTTTATGATACGCACGCAGGTATATAATTATTTGTTTCCCCACCTTTGCGAGCAGTGCGACAGCTCAGTCTATAGAAGGTAGGATTTTGCACCACGAGGTTGCGGTTCGTATCTCGGTTTTGCAGCCGATTGTTTTTTTCCTTTTCTAACCTGAGGCTTTGGAGGATTCTTTTAAAAGGGAAATGAAGTCTGAATTTCATAATGCTCGAAATCTTTTTTTTCCTTCTAATTTTATATTTTCTTCTCATGTTTTAGAAAAGTTAAGTCCAAAACGCCATAGCGTAAACCCATATGCGGATGTCGTTTGGGAGAAAAAAATTTGCGAACTGGGGAGGAGGGGACGTAACACTTTCTCAGCCAGGACTTGTGAATTGGTTTATGATCAACTTGTGAACCGAACTTGTGACGGACAGTGTCTGTCACGGCGACGTTCTACCGTACTGAATTATGGCAGATTTGGGAGGATTTGGGATCAAGGATTACCTCATCACCGCTGCTGCTGTCTTCTGAGGGAAGCTCGGTGTCTTCATCTGCATCATCTCCGTTCTCGCTCGCTGAATCATTGGTTTGCTGGGACAAAATCTCCTCGCCCTGCATGACACAATACCGGTTCAAAAAATGCACGAAAACCATTGACACAATCTCCAGAGGGCCACCCTACAATACTTTGTAAATAGTTTTGCCCTTCACTGACGTATAAACACTGTATAATAAACACTCAGTGTGTTACCTCCTGACAATACATCGTCTCATCATTTGAGAAAACACATTTGTAAAACAAAACATTTCTTATAAGATGGAATTTTTGCGCTGGGGTGATATCAATCTAATTAGGTTTTGCCCTTCACCAACATTTAAACACTGTATACTCAGTGTGTTACCTCCCGAGTGAAAGTTGGAAAAAAAGTTGTGGGTTCAAGTCCCACCCAAGTGATTTTTGCCAACTTTCACTCGGGAGGTAACATGATGAGTACACAGTGTTTAAACGTCGATGAAGGGCAAAACCTAATTTGATTGAAAACATTTCTTGAACTTTGTCCCTATGAATCACAACCTACTTGCAAAATGTATGAACAAATTTTCTGTAAAATGACATGGGCTGGGGAATTTCAGACATATTTTATAAAACCCTTATATCAAAACCTGTGCACATGAAAATGCACTTTTTTTTAATTTTAAATACAAAACACCTTTTTATGCTTCGTTTTTAAAGATCTGTGTCAAAATGGATCTTGGAAGTACAGTTGCAGTACTCCTGCGCCTAAGCTCTTCAGTGTATGATTTACACATGACAGTGTTTACCTTATGAAAAATATTCAGGTAGAAATTTAAAGAAAGAAGTAGGAAAAGAAGGAGCAAGGTAAAAAAAAGCTACAAAAAGTAGGAAAAGTAGGAATACTTCAGAAGTCTCGGACAAGGCAATGTTCCCTAGGAACCTTGCAAGACTTCCAAATTTTGAAATGCTCCCTTACGTGTAGATCTCTGTTCTTGAGGTTGCCCACCCAGAACGCCTCTTGGCATTTATGCAGAGCCAGCATGGCCTTGACTCGATACACAAACAGCTCCAGGTTGCGTTTGACGGCCGGTACGTGATTGGTCAACGATACATCCTTCGCAACCTGAAACAAAAACGACAGAGAAAACACAAATTTCAAGACATTCATCGGCCATCCTCATGATACAGCACATAACTGTATACACCATTTTCATAGCTGCCAACTTTTCAAAATCCAAATAAGTAATCAACCCGCGCGGTCATTTTCAACTGCTTGTATATTAACAGTGTATGTACCAGCTTAACCAACATCGAGTACAGGTACATGGTTTACATGTACACATACATGTGCATACCCTTCTTGTTGTGATTAATAATGTACTGTAGGCCATTGGATAATTAAAAAAATAAAAAATAAAAAATAAACAAACAATTATAAAAAAATAAAAATAATATTTGTTTTTTAATTAATTTTGTTTTACTGTCTGATATTTGTTTGTTGAGGTCAAATAAATAATAACAATAATAACATGTGCATATTTTTTTGAGATCGATGTTGAGTTTCGAGTTTGCATCATGTTTTTACACACAATGATTTAGGGCCACCGTATGCAATAGAAATATCCCGCCAACATACCTTGCAAACGCATGCTGATTTATCTTTTCTGGACGTTGGGATAAACTCCAACTCTATTAACAATACTTCCAACCATACTCTTATTAAATTCCATGATCAAACTCTCGCACTGATGGATCTCATCCCGGCAATTAGCGACCAATTGTGCTCACGATCGTCACTGAAACGTGGTCAGTACACACAACCACACATCCCCTAGATGCACACCATTGAAAAATATTTTAGTCTGGTCCTCAAGTACTCCACTGCACACACCACATTGATGTCTATCAGGTGCTTGACCGCATTGCTTATTAGACTTGTCACCAGCCCATCCATTATTGTAACATTTCGCCAGAAGTTTTCGGGCAAAAAGGATACTTTACAACTTTACAAGTATTTTTTTTTCGTTACATTTTTTTCGTAATTTTTTAGTGGCAATTCGTATTTTCGTAATTTAACAAAAAATTGGTAATAATTGCGAACAATTTGTAATAGTTCGCAGCTATGCATTTTGTCACAGGATATATGTAATGCGAATAATGAGAAAAATGAGCAATTAGTTTATCATTCATAAATACCTCAGACAGTTTACCTAATGGTTGAGAGCCTGTCATGTGGGTGGTTTAAACCGCCGGTAAATCACCGCTGTGTTCTCCGCCACATCGCGCAGTACACGCCCCACGTGCACCATTCTCCATATAAGGAGAGTTTAAGCGCTACGCGCACGAGGCACATACCGTAGCATGGCCAGAGGGGCGTTTCACAAAACATGAAGTAAAATTGTTGAACAAAATCGTTGGAATTTGATCAATTTTGGACTTATTTTGACTTTTAGACCTAAAAGGTATTTAGGAATAAATCAAGTGTCACCAGTAATGAGTTTGAATGTCTCTCCCAGTGGTCTCCCCCAACTCTCCTTTCAAAATCTCTTGAGGGGGTAGTTGCATATATAGTTCCTTTGCTTCACCGTACCTTAGAATGACTACACACGTGATGTAGTGACCTGGTGCTTTGCTGCAGGGTTTTCAACAGCTTCAAGACTTCTTCCCTCTGTGATGGGAACAGCCTGTCGAGTAGAGGCATCCCGTGTTTCAGGAAGAGCTCAATGAAGACACGTCCATACTGGGAAGACGAAAACATTGAAACTGAAAATCAGTTGATGAACAATTGGTTTTTAAAATTAAAACTAAAACATCTCATATAATCCTCTGCAATGACAGTCTTCGCGCACACGTGTGAAGCGCAAAAACCTGGGAGGTACTATCACACACCTGGGTCGCAACCTTAGATTTGTTCCAGTACTGTGTTATCTCTTTACCAACGACGCATACGCTTTACGTGTGTACCGTGAGATCACCAGGGTGGACAATTATGCCAGTCTATTACGGCATACATCAAAATGGAGACGTGGTGCTCGCTTTGCGATTTTAACGAGGAGGAACTGGGTGAAATTTCGCACAATAGTAAAAAATCCAGTGTTTTTTTGTGAATGTTAAACTTCTTAAATGAAAAAAAAATCAACTTTCTGTTCTGTTTGTCTCCTTAAATTAAAATAACGTTTCGCTTTATCCAAATACTGCACGATCGAATACATAGTGGAATGGACCAATGAAATACCGCAGCTGCCTGCTGAATATTTATGAGATATAGTAAAACAAATACAAGCAGGGGAAATAGTGAAAACAAATGATCCCTCCGTGTTAGAGGCTTTGTCTCGGGAAATATTTGTATAATATCCCACAGACGTGTACATCTATTGCACCTGTTTTGTGTCTGGCAGGGATAGAGTTAAATAATGAAAGGTTTGCGGAAACACCATGTGCGAATAATTTCTCAACTAAGAGAATGGTTCTGAAAAGAACCAGAGGTATCACTCGAAGTTCCGGTCAGTATGCTCTGACCGTCTTCAGGAGAGTGCCTAAACTCTAAGAAAGTGAATACTTAAGTAGCAAAAGGCGAAAATCAATGAAGTGTACAGTTGCATCCTGGGATAGAGTTACCAAAAACAAAAGAAGTTTTATACCTTGAGTGCAGACGTCAGATTGCTCCTTGCTTCAAACACCTTGAGAAGACTTATCAGGACATGGAAGACATGGACGGCCATGCTCCAGCGAATCAGTCGCTCTTCGGTCAAGTGACCGCCGCGCTTGGACGCCCCTCTGGCGTAAAGGTCACGAAGGTAGGTAGTCAGGTGGTCAAATAGGACGCGATAGTAAGTTCCAAACGTCAATCTGTGTTAACATAACATCCAACAAATTTATACAAAATGATGATATACTGCTTGATAAATATTTTAACAAATCTGACAAATACTTTTTAAGTGCTCATAAAAAAAAGCGGAACCCAAACCTCCAAAAAAAAAACCCCCAAAAGGTGAAGGTAATTATCAGCATACAGACTCCAACAGGTCTTAAACATAGTGTTTAATACTGGCCAAGCACCTATTTATTCCCATTCATAAATACCTTTTTGGGTAAAAAAATCTAGATTTTTGCAGTCCAAAAGTCAAACCAAGTCAAAAGTTATAAAATTCCAACGATTTTGTTCAACAAGTTTACTTCATGTTTTTTCGAAACACCCCCCTTGCTATACTATGAAATGTCTATCTCGTAAACAACTCCTTATATGGAAATTGGCACGCGCGACAGCACGATGTTGCGCAGAACGCAGCTGTGCCAGTGTAGTGTGAACTTAGGACTAGTGTTGCGCATGCCTACGTGAGGATAGTGAACGTTCAACCAATAAAACGATAAGAGGCACCGGATTTCGTAAGAGTCAAAATTTCATGTGACATTGGAAAAGTGGTTAATACAAGCCAGCCGATCTTTATCAACCATTAAAACCGGTCACGTGACAGGCTCTCAACCAATAGGAATGGGTAAACAAGTATTTATTAATGTACTTTGATAACAAAATAATATGCCACCCAGAAAAGTACCTGATAATTATATAATATTGGATGGCTTTGAGGTGGATACAAGAATATATTGCACTCGCTATGACAATATTGCATGAGTCTTTGACTCGTGCAATATTGTCATAGCTCATGCAATATATTCTTGTATCCACCGAAAAAACAGCCATCCAATATTGTTATTATTATTTATATCAGGCTGACTTGATCAGCAAGAAATACAATTCAAGACACTGTCCTCATTTCATCTTTTTCGTCAAACTATTTGAAGCTGCCACAGTAATATTGTTGACAACAGTGCGTGTATACCTGGCCTTCTGCGCGCCGCATGTGCGCTGCATGTGCGCAGCGTTCCGTGTTCGACGGTACGCGCGCGCGCTACACTCTGTTGAGTGGTTGACAACTGTGACTTTCTATGCTCTTGATCAAGCGGGAACCAGCGAAAATGCCCGGATTGACTGCAATAACAATGTTATTGTAGTCAACCGGGTACTTTATTAGTGCAGGAATCCGGGAACTTTGTTATGAAAGCATACAATACGCAGATTTATTTTTACCGCTGGAAGCCTGATATAAATAATAATACCGAATATCGCCATATTTTTGTGGAGGTATACTGTGGAGACTCAAAATCCAGTACCACACAAGCCTACTAACAAGTACCTGTTGAGGGTTTGGTAGGTAGTAGAGTAGCCCGTCCTCTCATTGCTGTCTATGAGTTCTGGGATCGCGATGGTACAGATGTCCTGAATGCTCTTCAGAACGTCAGGTGTATGACACAGGTAGATTCTACCAATTACAATATATTTTACAAAGTCACACCAACTGGCAAACAAAGCAGCAAAGCTCTTTATCAGTGTTCAATCAAACAGTTTCATTTCATACATAGCTGGATGTTGATAAAATGTATTAAATACATTTGGCGCTCAGCACCAATACATTGTTCACAATGGGTGAGAATGGCACAAAGACACCAGACCATGCCGGAGCTGGGGGTTGCTAGCATAAGGCTTGCCCCGAATCACGTGATATAGTAACAGTCTCTTTGGTCGGGAGAATGCAAAGTCAAAACGTGTAAAGCATTGGATTAAGTCGGTGTTCCAGATTTTATTCAAATTTAACTCGCCAATTATTTATTCAATATGTGACACCGGGGGGATCGGTGTCGAAATGGGAATGAGGAACGGCTGAAGCAAATTCTCTGTTATCTCTGTTGTTTTATTCCTGTAAAATGAAGAGAAGAGTAAATCTAATGTTGTCTCTTCAAATACAGAAGATGGAGTGCTTAAATAAATATTTACATGACAAATTATAAAAAATATCTAAAAGTAAAATATGTCTCCATGGACAATTTAGCCAAGTAATTGAAAGCAAATGCTAAACAATAATTACTAAAGTGAAATATCAAAGGGATGGCTAAAGCATGACAAATATAAATCATTTAAACCAAAATGGCGATTCCCGCCAAAAGATCGGCGATAGCCGCCATCTTGCGGCTACGTCCGTTTTAGGACTAATTACAAAACGATACCTCAAAACACACCCAGTCTCTTGCAAAAAACTACAAGAATATTACTACAACTCCCGTTTAGGACTACATCATTAAGGATTAAGCTAGATTGTAAGTCTAAGAATAAGGAATAAATCGTAACAATCTATACCACAAGTCCAAGAAAACGAAGTATTGCTAACCACGAAAATGCACTATAAATCGTAGAAAAGGCTTAATAAAATATAAATGAACACGTAAGGTATGAGTAGATGAGTAAATGAAGTTTAAGCTAGAAGTAATGAATTATAAGAAAATAAAGAAGTATTTACCTGTGAAATGAAGAGAAGAGTAAATCTATTTTACCATTTGGCCAACAAAGCTTTTCCTCTCTCAACTTTTGCTTGGTGGGAGTTACCACTAGCATGCTGCTCTTTGGTTTGACCTAAAAAGTCGTAGGTCAGTCGGTCAACTTGTTTCCTGACTCTCTTTGGTCTAGAAACATCAGTTGCAACTGGCTGAGGAGTGAGTAGAGAAGGAGATTCAGCCGCATCAGGTAAGCTGGACTCGAACGAATATGTTAACTGTCCAGACGGAGACTGATAGGACTCGGGACGATGCTCTGACGGAGAGTTTGATAAATACCCTGATGGAGAATCAGAAACAGGTTGAGCATTTGATGAAGAGTTCAATGACGGAGCCACAGAGTAAGCATTTGAAGGAGATTCCGATGAATGACAGACAGAGAGACCATTTAATGGAGATTGTGGATGACTTTCTGAAGGAGAAGGTTCTGGTTCTATTCGAACCGGAAGAAAGATAATTTCACCATCATCGGCCATAGAGTTGACTTCGGTCTTTTTCTCCTTGTCGCTTCTTTCTGTCTGTTCATCTTTTTCTGGGAATGCCTTGGTTTCAACTTTTGGATGCATGGGCTCTTCGATTTTGACTACGTTGGGCTCTTCCATGTCATCTTCTACCGGGAGGAACATACATGGCGTGAGCAGGTTTCGATGGAGAGTTCTCTCCTTGCCGGTTGAGGTACATCTGACCATGTAGACTGGGAGGTTCTCTAGTTTGGAGACGATGATGTAGGGTCTGTCTTCCCATCTGTTCGCTAATTTCTGAGTTCCCTGGATGTGTTTGTTCTGCACTAGGACACGGTCACCTGGTTGTAGAGGGGCATCGCGTGTTTTGCTGTCGTATATGCGTTTTTGTTTGAGTTTGGCCTGTTTTGCGAAGTTACTGGCTGTCTCGTATGAAGAGGTCAAACGCCGTTTCAAGTTCTGCACATAGTCGTCGTAGTCGTGGGATGTGTCGTCATCGGTGCTGCCAATTCCAAACATGAGATCTATTGGAAGGTTGGGGTGACGACCAAACATCAGCAGGAACGGAGGGTATCCTGTAGTGTCATGGCGTGTAGCGTTGTAGGCGTGTGCCATAGCTCCTACATACTGTTTCCAGTTCTTCTTTTGGCTTGTGTCGAGCGTTCCAAGCATGTTTAACAGCGTATGGTTAAAACGCTCGGTCTGTCCGTTGCCTTGAGGATGGTAGGGGGTCGTGCGACTTTTCTTGATTCCAGAAATTTTGCAGAGTTCTTGGATGACTTGCCCCTCGAAGTTTCGACCTTGGTCGGCGTGGATTCTTGCCGGAAATCCATAGTGCTGGATGAAGTTCTCCCACAAAACCTTTGCTACCGTTTCAGCTTTCTGGTCCAGGGTGGGGAAGGCTTGTGCATATTTTGTAAAGTGGTCTGTGACTACAAGGATGTTTTCGTAGCCACCTTTACAGCGCTCTAACTTCAGGTAGTCTATGCACACCAGCTCTAGCGGTTCACTTGTAACGATGGAGACCAATGGCGCTCTGACTTTGGACTGAGATGTTTTGCGAAGGCAGCATCGTTTGCATTGAAGACAGTGAATCCTGACATCTCGAGCCATCCCTGGCCAAAAGAACCTTCTTCGGACCATTTCTAGGGTTCTATCGCAGCCAAGGTGGCCGATGTCGTCATGGAGACCAGTAATGGCGGTTTCTCTGTAGCATTCTGGAAGAACTAGCTGATGTGAAATGCTTCCTTCTGCTGTCTTTCGTGCGCGATGTAGAATGTTGTCTTTCATCTCTAGCTTGTCGTATTCTCTGAAGTAGGGGAGGGAATTCGGGTGTTGTTGTCGTTCGTGTGAGTCTGGTCTTCGACCTTTCTCAAGAAGATAGATCACCCTGGAGATGTTGGGGTCGTCACGCTGGGAGAGCGCTAGTTGTTTCTGTGACAGTCCGGGGAGCTCGTTCTCGTTGGTCTGGATTTTCATTGTTGAAGGAAGCCTTGCTTGCTGACGAGTCACTGCCTGACACTGGACGGCTGACGATGGGGCTTCTATGTAGGGATGTGAAGAAAGAGGATGACCTCCACATATCGCCTGGACGATGTCGCATGGGATCGTTACAGCTTCATCTCGAGAGGAAGATATAGAGGCTGACGATTCTGGTTGGGGTTTTCTGGACAGCGCATCTGCTGCAGAGTTACTTTTCCCTGGCTTATACTTGATGATAAACTCAAACTGAGAAAGGGCAGCGACCCAACGTTGACCCGTGGCGTCAAGCTTAGCTGTAGTAGTAACATATAGGAGAGGATTGTTGTCCGTCCATACAGTGAATTTGTTGCCCAGCAGATAATCGCGAAACTTGTCAGTGACAGCCCATTTTAAGGCGAGAAATTCAAGCTTGTGAGCGGGGTAGCGAGTTTCTGCTGGAGTCAAACCTCTGCTGGCGTAGGCAACTATTCTCTCTTGACCATCTTGGATCTGGCTTAGAATGGCGCCAAGACCAGTACCGCAGGCGTCAGTTTGAAGGAGAAATGGCTTAGTGTAGTCAGCAAACGCAAGTATTGGGGCTGACGTCATCAGATCTCTCAGGACTTCGAAAGACTTCTGGCATTCATCTGTCCATGTAAATGGAGGGACTGACGTAGACTGTTTGCTCTTGCCCTTCTTCCTTCGTCGTGGGTCTCCAGCTGTGAGTTTGTATAGTGGTGACACGATGTTAGAGTAGCCCTTGATGTATCGTCTATAATATCCCGTGAAGCCCAGGAACCGAAGGAGTTCCTTGCGGTTGCAAGGTGTCTTCCAGTCCTTGACTTGCGAGATTTTGTCAGGATCGGTTGCTATTCCTGCTGCAGACACTATGTGGCCGAGGTACGTTACCTGTTTTTGAAGGAGATGGCATTTGGAAGGCTTCAACTTCAAGCCGTGTTGTCGCAAGCAGGAAAACACCTTCTCCAACCGTTGGATGTGCTCTTCGAATGTCGAGGAGAAGACGATGATGTCGTCGAGGTATAACAGCACAGTGGAATAATTCTGGTCTCCTAGACAGGTTTGCATCAACCGCTGGAAGGTGGCTGGGGCATTCTGAAGACCAAAAGGCATCCGGTTGCACTCAAAGAGGCCCATCGGAGTGGTAAATGCTGTTTTCGCCTTGTCTCGCTCTTCTACCTCGACTTGCCAATAGCCAGATGTAAGGTCTAACGTTGTGAAGAATTTGGCATTGCCCAGAGCGTCTAAAGCCTCTTCAATGCGAGGGAGAGGGTATGCATCACGGATGGTTCTGCTGTTCAGTTGGCGGTAATCGATGCAGACTCGTAGTGACCCATCCTTCTTGTGGACGATAACCATTGGTGAGGCGTATGGACTGTTGCTGCAGCGGATGACTTCTGCTTCTTCCATCTTCCCAAGTTGCTCTTTCACAGCTTGGTACTGGAGAGGTGGTATTCTCCGATGAGGAAGTCTGAAAGGATGCTCGTCCATCAGTGGTATCGTATGCTTCACGGTAGTGGTTCGGCCAAAATCAAGAGAATCTGCAGAAAATACATCTTTGTATTTCTGAAGGAGATGGAGAATTTGCTTCTTCTGGGCTTCGTTGTCAAAAGTAGACTCTGAAAGGTCGAGTGAAGGTATAAGGCTAGTCAACTCTTCAGTAACTCCCTTGTTCTTCATGTAAGCACGCATGAACCCTTCATTTGGATGAAGTGAAGAAGACAGTGGCTCCTCCGCAGAACCTTTATTCTCCTCCACATGAAGAACTGACGAGACTTGAGCAATTCGGCAATTTCTCGGGATGATGATCGGCTTGGCGGATATGTTGCACATCCTCACTGGTACCCTTCTGTCCTGACCAACATCAGCTAAAAGGTGGCCGATTCTCAGACTGGATGAGCTGTTTGGGAGACCTTCCACTAAGGCAGTATATGGACGACCTGTTGGGCTCGGAGGGGCTTGGCAAATTATGTCGACCTCAGCACCTGGTTTTATCTTCCGGGGGGAGCGGCCGACGTACTTGGCGTAGCCCATTCTACCAGACTGGTCATCCTGGTCGAGCGTTGCTGTGTTGATGTATGCAGTGTGCCATGCAGTGTTTTCTGTCTTCAGCTCTTCCATGAAGTTGTCTCCTCTTGTATGATGCTGGTCTTTCTTCGTTACTCTTATTACATTCGTGCCTATTAACACAGGAACATGCTGGCGATAGCTGTCGGAGGGGACCACGAAGACCGGTACGTCATCATAGGTGATACCAAGAATAGTGACGGAGACGGGAAGAATTCCCAAATAGGGGACTTCTTGACCGCTGGCACCCTCTATCTTAATGTCTGCTGAAGATAGACTGACATCAGAAAGTAGTGGATGTCCTCTCCATAGGTCCTCCGTGATAGATGTTATTTGCGAGCCGGAGTCAATCAGTGCTCGATGTGGTACCCCGTTGATCTCTACGGTATCTTCATTATTTGGGCCAATCACTTGAAAAATCGAGGTTGCGTTTTGTCCACTGTCTGAAGGAGAATTGAGATGTGTTGTCACTTTCGGGCTTGACTCTTGGCCTCCGGTTTGCCCTCCGACCGGGGCCCCTGGAAGTTTAACGGAAGATTCCGACATCCACGGGCTATGTGTCCCTCTTGGCCACAGCGGTGACAGACGAAGACATTCCTGTCAGTAGGCTGTTGAGGATACATCGGCTGGTTTGAAGGAGAGTAAGGTCTAGACGCCAAGGACTCAACGGTTCTGGTTAGCTGTTCGACCTTATAGATGAGACCTTGAATGACTTCTTCACTTTGGCTTTGTCGGTTTGTTGGTTGGTTGTTCGTAGCCTTCTGGAGTTTGAAGGTGGTATCTGCTTTCTGCTGTCTTGGCGGAGGTGGCGCTTGTTGGCCTGCCTGTGCTGGAACATGTTGCGGTTGTGACTGGACCTTACTCGTGGGTTGTGGGGACTGGGCTTTGGAGACAGCTTTGGAATGAAGTAGAGCTGAAGCCCGCTGTTCTCGCTCTATTTGTCGAAGTTCCACTTGCAGTTCTCTGAACGACATGTCCCTGGGCCTCATCGGAGCAAGACGGTTGGTTATTTTTTCGTCTCCAACTCCACGCATGAACTGCTGTGTGAGCATGCTATTACGGTTGGTTAGGGGAAGCCTGCTGTTCATCCGCTCCTCTACAGTCCGTAGTGTCGCCTCCAGCTCAACTGTGTATATACTGGGCGATTCGCTTGCCAGCCTCAATCGCTCGTAGAATATTGCCAGGGGATCACCAGTCATGGATGCGTCTCCAAATTGCTCTTTCAGTTCAGCAAAGGCATGGTGCGGTGTTTGCTCCTCTGGGGGTAGGTTCAAGACTAGTTTCCTGGCTGCACCTCCAAGGTTTCGGACGATCGTAGAAAACTGCATTTCAGGTGGCATGGCTGTGTTGTCGATGAGATATTTGACATCCCTCACCCAGTCTTCGATGCAAAGACTTGAGCCCTCACGGCCAGTGTAAATAGGGACGCTCTTGACTTGGTGTGATGGCATCAGCTGGTAGCGATTTGAAGGAGACATTGGTTTGTTGGTCGGGGTTAGAGGTGTGTAACCTTGGAAGATGGGTGTCGGAGCACTAGGGACTCTAGTTCCCATGGGCGCTGCTCTGTTCGGACCACTGCTTGCAGATCCGGGTTGCGGTTGCTTGTGTGGACGAAAACAACTCTCTGAGATCCGTCGTTCGATATCCACAAGTTCAGCTAGGAACTGCTCGGCGATTGGTGTAGATGGTATTACCTCCTCAGTGGATCTGTCATGGCGAGTAGTATGGGCAGCAGCAGGTGGTATATGGGTTGTCGAATAGCGAGCTGTTGCAGGGGTTGGATACATTGGGTCTTCTACAGAAGGTCTTCGAGAAGAAGCCATTTTGTCTGAGAGGAAACAGTTGACTAAAAGACCAAGCACAACAACAATGCAATATGTACAAGGCATCCAAAGGTAAGTCAAACAATAATGCAATGTCAAGTAGAATGGAATGTAATACGAAAAAGACAAAAATGGTTAGGCAAATCAGACTATCAATCAATTAAATCAAGGAATATCAAATATCAATCAAGGCCGAAAAACCAATTATCAACACCAACAATCAATTAATATCAAACGAAAATGGCAATACCAATCAAATAAATAAATCAAATACCAAACAAATAAATAAATCAAACAATAAATTAGTGTGAATCAAATCAATAAATTAGTAATCAACGTCAAGGTCAACAATAAACACAAAAACAATTTGAACTAGCGAACAAAAAGCAAAAAAGGATCAAATCTATTACTGCTCGTATCGATCAAAATAGGAATTTAAATTCAACTTCTCGATAACTTCAACTGTTTCAATTCAAGTTCAATCGGTAAGTGCACTTTACTGACACTTGGAACATTTTTCGTAATTCACACCCAAACAATCTCGTGAATGGTACCCGTCTTGTACATGGGAGGCAAATAAAGCAGGGCAACACAACGATTTACGGCAAACGGTCTCCTGCGGTTTTTTTCGTGTGAGAAAGAGAGTCAATCTTGCAATGCCGTAAACTCAACTAGTTGGCTTTCAACGCAGCCCAAACAAAGATTGTCAATCACAGCGAATTCTTGGTGACACTTGGCCAGGGATGGGATTAACGTTTGCCACCTGCCGTACAACAGGAGAACCATTCACAGTAATGGAATTTATCAAACAATGACAGTGTAAAAACCAGCTTGGTTATAAAGTGCTTCTATTCAATTAATTATTTTGAACCAGTTGCCTTTATACCCGGATCTTCCACCAAATGTGACACCGGGGGGATCGGTGTCGAAATGGGAATGAGGAACGGCTGAAGCAAATTCTCTGTTATCTCTGTTGTTTTATTCCTGTAAAATGAAGAGAAGAGTAAATCTAATGTTGTCTCTTCAAATACAGAAGATGGAGTGCTTAAATAAATATTTACATGACAAATTATAAAAAATATCTAAAAGTAAAATATGTCTCCATGGACAATTTAGCCAAGTAATTGAAAGCAAATGCTAAACAATAATTACTAAAGTGAAATATCAAAGGGATGGCTAAAGCATGACAAATATAAATCATTTAAACCAAAATGGCGATTCCCGCCAAAAGATCGGCGATAGCCGCCATCTTGCGGCTACGTCCGTTTTAGGACTAATTACAAAACGATACCTCAAAACACACCCAGTCTCTTGCAAAAAACTACAAGAATATTACTACAACTCCCGTTTAGGACTACATCATTAAGGATTAAGCTAGATTGTAAGTCTAAGAATAAGGAATAAATCGTAACAATCTATACCACAAGTCCAAGAAAACGAAGTATTGCTAACCACGAAAATGCACTATAAATCGTAGAAAAGGCTTAATAAAATATAAATGAACACGTAAGGTATGAGTAGATGAGTAAATGAAGTTTAAGCTAGAAGTAATGAATTATAAGAAAATAAAGAAGTATTTACCTGTGAAATGAAGAGAAGAGTAAATCTAATGTTGTCTCTTCAAATACAGAAGATGGAGTGCGGTGGGCCGTTTGCCGGGCCGGGAAGAGTGTATTGTTACATAATTTAAATAATAATGAAAGAGGCGTAAGGATATAGTGTATAAGAATTAGTCCGGAAAATAAAAAGGGGGGGGGGGGTATATTTTAAACCGTCACAAATACTTAACACTGCTGTTACTATGGGCATCAACCAATCAGCAATCGTGATTTCACAATAATAATAACACTGGAGTCTTAAATAGCGCATGTATCTGCCAACAATTAGGTACTCAAGGTGCTAATTAATATGAATTATACAGGGTGAGTAAAACAAACGAAACCCAAGTGTCGGGACCATTGTTTTAGTGAAGTTCTGCATGTAGCACTTTCAAAATCTAGGATATGAAAGCTCAATTCATAAGCTTTCTTTTAGTACAAGAATCATTCAAATCACTCATGTACTTTTCCAGTTACAGAGTTTTAAACACTACTGCCGTTTTAAGGTTCTGTCCACGGATCACAAAAAGTTCAGTGTTCTTTCAGCAAAACGAAAACAAATCACGTAAGGATGTTTGCTGAAAGAACGCACACCTTTTTTTGTGATCTGCAGACAAAACTTTAAAACAGTGGTTGTGTTTAAACTTCGTAACTTTTATGTTACGGACATTCCATGCCATTCATTGGGGGAAAAAATTCACTGTTGTATAAACAGAAGATTGGTCCGTCAATGTATTTATACGGAATCATCAAGGAGTATAAATGGTATGAGAGTGTCAAAGTAGGAAAATCTCCTTTTTTTCTCTCCATTTTTCATTTTCTTGGCTTACCTGAGCAGTGACTGGAGGAGTTCGTTGTGTTTGGCACCTTTCTCTATTAGGCCGTCCTGGTTCAACCATTCTCGCTTCAACAGACCTTCGGCCATGTCGGCTGCAATCATATTAACTTAATCAGTTCTTCAATTACCCACGGTACCATAAGACAACACGAAGCTTTGACAATGAAAATTTGGGCCATTATCAAAACGCAAGAAAATTGAAATCCTGAAAAAAAATATGTGACATTTGAGGTGACCATTGCTATAACAAAATGTATAAAAATGAGTGCCGATATAATTTTTTTCTCCTAAAAGCAACTTGACTTGTTTCAAATTTATTAATTTGTCCGCATTATTGACTTTTTACTTCTTGACTTAACATTTTTTTCATTGTTTTTCTATCACTGAATGACATTCAGCAGGTTTAGGACAAAAAATATTAAGAGTTTAATTGCTCATGTCGATTATTCAAAGCAAAAATAGATAAAGCTAATATTTAGGGAACTTTTCTGTAAGCTTTGGGGAAGTTAAAACGATTATTATATTCCATGTATCATTTAGCTTTCCAGAGAGATGCCCCTTTTTTGTTCAGCGTAGGGGATTTCTCAATTTTTACAGCATGCGCCATTTCAAGGATACCCCAACTTTGTGGTCACATCGTCACCGTTTTCACGAAGAGGCGAATTTAGTATTTCACTGTCTGAACAAACATTCGAGATAATCGCGTTTCAAGTTGGTCCTTTTTCATTTGACAATTTGAAACTTAAAGATGCATAAAATATGCAAGATTTAGGTATCAGAGGAAAGAAGAGCTTCTAATCTTCCTAAATGTAGCAAACTTTAGGAAAAATAGGTGATTACTTTTGCAGAATTAATCAATTAAGAGAAGTGGCTGTTCGTGAAAACAAAACAAAAACAATTAGCAAATTCGCCCCTTCGTGAAAACATTTTAATATTGCAAGCGCATGGAATTCGCCCTTTCGTGATATACGCACCATTGTATTACAATGTATTTATTTACTGAAAATTTATTAATACATAGAGTGCGGAAATTTGCCCCTAAGTGAAAAAACGCAAAACGGCACTTTTAGAAAATTCGCCCATTCGTTAATTAGGTTAATTAAGATTTTAATTAATTTTTTGAAAGTATAGCCTCACCAGGTTGTAGATATTGATATATTTATTCATTTTCACACAAAAAAACAAATTTCGAAAAACAGACGATTTCCATGAAATTCGCCCCTTCGTGAAAACGGTGACGACATGGTACAGGGGGCATGTCATTAAAAAATACGTCCTGTCATTCCGTTGCATCCTCAGCATGATGGGATGAATTTTCAATGGCATGCCCACCTGAGATGACCATGTGACCACAAAGATGGCGGTATCCGTAGAACAGTCTATGGGGGTGGACTGTCACCCTTTGGTGCAATCTCTGTAGACATTTGAGCTTACCTATACTCTCACTGTTATCGGTTGTCTCAGAGTGTTCGCTGAGAGAGACAAGAAGACGAAGCAGGAAGATGGCTGAAGACAAGTCAGGCACTGTGTCTAAGAACTTCTCCAAGTAGCTGAAAGCGTGCCTGACATCACAAAATGCAAAGAAAAAACAAAAGAAATCCACATATGAGACCTGCTAGTGGTGTTTTTATTTATTTATTTATTTATTTATTTATTTATTATCCACATCCAACAGCAGAACAAACCGCCAATTACAGGACTGGTTTTATCTGCAGCACACATCGTCAATAGATCATGATTATTCAGTTAGTTCGATATTTATTCAAAAGAAAATACCAATGACGTCACACCATTGCTATCACCCAGACATGCATGTACATTAAAGCATTTCAAAGAACGGCTTTCGTCGAGCTGCCACAGTGGCCTGGTGGACAGTAGAATGAACTATGGATCGCAAGATCTGTGGTTCAAACCCATGTCCATTTTCATCAAATATTTTTGTTGGTTGGGATAAGTTAAATTGAAGGAAAAACACTACGAAGGTCATTTTCAAAGATGTGCCTAAAGACGCATTTTTGGAAATTTCCATTAGTCATGTTAGTTGTTAGTTTTTAATTCGGCGGTGAATGGGTGCGCACAAGCGTTGACACAACGCACATGTGCTTTAATTTGTCAGTTAAGTGCGTGACATTGCGTAGCTTCAATCGGCTGAATGAGAACGTGTCCTGGATGCTAATTTCGGGCGCAATTTAAAACCTGTCTCGGCAACTTTTGAATTGAACCCGAGATCCAAGAATATTCTTTTCTCGGAATATACAGCATTCACTGATGAGCTAAAACTTCATCAGGTTAGTTGATAAGGCAAAAAAAAAGTCTCCGGTTTCTGGTATGGAGCTTGCCCAAAAAGTTGTGCGGCGACGCGGCTTTTTTTTTTTTACCTGTTTTTTTTGCTTCAAATGTCGGCTGATGACTGCAAATGGTGCCCGACTAAACTTAGTACAAATACTATGGGAGACCAGAGAGGCCACGTAAAGCTTATTCTCGATCATAACCCCATCTAAAAACACGTTAAAATTGTGCAGCAGCAGGATTCTAGTCAAACCAGTGAGTTTGGCGGTTTTGAGACATCATCTTTCATTGAAATTGTTTTTTTTTCATTTTGCCGACGCGCATGGCTAAGGCGACGCGCGCGCATAGCAGAAACCGGAGACTTTTTTTTTGGCCTAAGCACCCTCCTTTAGATTTTGAGCACTTTTGTTGCTGCAAACCAAAAAAATGCACAAATGACAAATGACATGCTCTACCTTTAAAGCAAGTCCCTGCACTGCCCAAAACCGCCCTGCCTATTACTCCCTGTACTGCCCCAATAAATACAATGTAATACAATGTAGTACAGCTGCTCATGGGTTAAGTCGTTACAAATTTAAGCTGTTAGACATGTTCAGCTTACTTGTGGAGTTGTTTGGCTGTGAGTTGCGTTCGTCCGCTGCTCTTGATACGGGATGTCAAGACTTTCAAGGCATCCAAGAACAAGGACTTGTTCTCACTGGACGCAAAGCCATTCCTGAAAAAATGTCATGATAAGACTGAATTAGACAACCGAATTCCTTCCTTCAGCATCTACTCTATTCTTCAGGTTTTCACATGAATTTGCTGTGATCACCAGCCTTTATATTACCCGCAAAAATAGATTTCGACTCTCGTTTATACAAATTCAGCCAGACCTGGTCAAAATATTTTGTTACATCGAAATGTTTTATTAAAAAGAGCGCTGGTCCCATTCCCTGTGCACATAAATGCACAGTTGGGACGAAGCTTTAAGTTAACTTTAACCAGAAATTTGTATGAACGAGAGCCAACTTTAATAACGCCTCCTTGTTCAAGCCGCTTAATTGCAAGAGACATTGTGTTCCAAAAATAGTAGACCACTGGAGCCGGACACCTCCACTGCGACAGGAAGCTCAAAGTTCCTTGCCTCGTAATTGAGGTTAAAACTACGATAAATGCATCGTTTCACACTTGAAGAATTTCAATCTTGCGTCAACCCTGCGTCAACCCCAAGATTGATTTCTACCCGGGGTTGAACTCAACCCTGCCCCAGACCAGGGTTGAGATTTTCAACCTGGGTTGAAAATCTTGCCAGGGTTCAAAACAGTAGTAACTGAGCATGATAAGGCCAAAAAAAAATACTCGGTCTCTGGTCAGCACGCGCGTCGATTTTAATCATGCACGTCAACCTTTTTTTTTTTTTTTAAATTAACACGGAAGCTACAACAGTGCCCTCTACTGCCGCACCTCCTCAAATTTTTGTACCAAGGAGCACCAAGGAATGGGGAAATTGCACCAAGGCAAATGATAAAGGGCACCAAGGCATATTATGGAGGACACCAATGTATAATGAGGACACAAAAAAGCAAAATAATACCCACCTTGTCTGTACAATTCAAGCTTGAAAAAAGGAAAGAAAAAGCCACCCCCCCCCCCCCAAAAAAAACCACGTCGCCGCATCAATTCCGGAACTTCGGTCTGACCAGAGACCGACTTAATTTTTTGGGGGCCTAAGTTTGATTTGCATGAAACAAGTGTGAAACAATGCAGGGTTGAAAGCAGGGTTGAAAAATCAAAAACTCAACCCGGGGTGGCACTGAGTTCGCCCAGGGTTGAGTTCAACCGGGGATTGAGAGGCTCTAGTGTGAAAAGGGCTTATAATAGAGTTTCTCACCATGAGAAGAGAGAGAGCAGTGACTTGAGTAGGAGGTGCAGACACGTTGCAATTTCGTGGTATTCAGGAGTATTGGCACCAGGACCATCAACGACCCCGTCATTCTGCTCTACGAGGGCCTGTAAGAGAACCCAAAACTTGTTTTTTTGGATTTTAGTTTTAGTTTATATTGTACTTAAAGAGTGAGTTCGATTACTTCCCCCGCGCTTACTCGTGCAAGCGTGACAGCGTTCGATTTACCTCTCACGTGACTTCTCGCGCTTACTCGAGCCTGGCCCGAGTGACCGACTCGCTGAGCCGGTTACTTGGGTAAGTATCCCATAAGGCCATGCAAAAAACATGGCTGTCAACGTGACGTCCGGCGGGCGCCTCAGGCAGTGTGCAGAGCTACAGCAATGTCATGTCAGTCTGTTCCCGCATATTTCCAATGGGCACGGACCTAGACCTAGCTCTAGACAGTTGATTCGGATGCAGCCTCAGTGTCATGTCAACATTCAACTTTCCAGCTCTTGCACGAAACTTTACCCAAAACCGTTCGTTTATTTAGCTCCACTGCGCATGTCTGTCATCACGCGAGGAGCAGGCGCGAGTAAGCTGGGGGAAGTAATCGAACGCACTTGTAAAGTTTGAGAAAGACACGTTGCATTTAGATTTATGACTTGGGGATCGTTTTGAAACCAATTTGGCCCGTCTCCATTCACATCCGGGACGAGTTCCGGACAAGTTGCGGGTAGAATCATTCACTTTGTCCGGAAGAAGCTCTGCATTTGTCCCGGACATGTTCCGGGCAAATTTTCATTAGCAACTGCTTGACTCACCAATACTGATAACTTCATTGCGGGAAGATTGCAAGGAAGTTGTTGAGAATCCTGCAACTTATACCAGATACAATGTCGTGAAAGTTGCAGTTTACAACGTAAAGCCATAAAGCCCTTCAGACGACTTCCAGGATTTGCATTTTGGGGTTGGGCTTCTTTTATGGGTACCCGCGTGCCCGCGTGTTACTTCAGTAGGATACCTGGTTCTCGTACTACCCATAAAAAAGCACACCAATAGTAGTTTAAATATAATCAAACTAAGAATTTTAAATACGATAATAATTAAGACGTATAGAGACATGCCTTGGGAAAACCAACAGACTTTAAAGTGACTAAAATTGAACCAACTCCAAAACACAACGGCCAACACCACTGTTCAATAAAGAATTGAAACCAGTGTGACTTGCCTGGAAGAATGCGCTGCTGGATTCAAGATGATCACAGAGATGAGGCAAGAGCTTGATAGCCTTGACGGCAATTTCACGAGGAGTGAAGCGATTCAGGTGGGAGAAGCCTGTATTCTTGTCGGATTTGGTCTGAGGAAATTCAGATTAATATTGACCAAAATGAAATTAACGATTAAGGCAAAGCATACTAAGTACCATTATGGGCTCCATACACAAGTACCCCCCTCAGCGGTAAGAAAGGGAGAGTTGGGGGAGACCACTGGAAGAGACATTCGAATGCATTGCCTGATGCTCACGCGAAGACGCTATGGCTTTGTGTACATTCAGAATAAAATAAATCGTGTGTACTTTAAACAGGCATGCAACTGGGAATTCAGGGGGACAAAACGAAGAAATTCCAAACTACACAAGACTTTGTACAGTGTTTTTCCATTTGTAATGGTATTCCCGAGAGGTTAAACACGAGGAAATCTGCGGATCCGAGGACAAGTTGCATGCCTGTGTACTTGCAAACCAGTACACGCATACGGGGTACCCCATCCACTGGGCTTCCGCAAAAAGCACCCTCTCTTGTTTGCGCTTAAACAGTTTTCAGAAATTAGTACGAATGAATGCAATTATTTCACCTCATTAATAAGGGAATAAGTGTGTGCTCCGGAGGTTTTTATCACTCTGTTTAAGACCACTTAGAGTCTGGGTGCTGATAATTACCCGAGCCGGAGGCGAGGGTAATTATCAGCACCCAGACTCTAAGTGGTCTTAAACAGAGTGATAAATACCGACGGAGCACATATTTATTCCCATTCATAAATACCTTTCCGGTAAAAAAAAATCATAAAATTCGTTCAAAACATCCCGATTTTGTTCACCAAATTCACTTTATGCTTTTTGAAACATCCCTCTTGCATCTTGCAAAATAATGGAGTGTTCAGCTGGCGAGTAAGATGTAAACAACCCTTTTATGGAGATTGACGCGCGCGTATCATGTTCTGCGCGATGACGCGCAGAACGCACCTGGCGCGTTGCGTTTTGAATTTAGAACTATAAAATTCTGACTCGCTGGTAGTGTTGCGCATGCCTACGTGAGGATTGTGAACGTTCAACCAATGAAACGATAAGAGACACTTGATTTTTAGGAGTCCACATTTTATTGTGACACTGGAAAAGTGTTTAAGACCAGCTAGCCATGTCTTTATCATCCGTTTAAGACCGGCCACGTGACGGGCTCTCGACCAATAGGAATGCGTAAACTGTTTTAGGTATTTATGAATATAATACAAAGATCCAGATATAAGGGATAGCATATCAGTAACGAACAATTTTTGAGAGCAGGTTAACTTCCTTGTCAACTGCTCGCCCAAGCACAAGGCAATAACAAATTCAGTCCACTTTTACCTCAAATCACTAGGTCCGGATGTGAATCTCAGACTGTGGAGTTCAGGATTTAGTTGAGGTTTAGGTCTAAACTGTAACTTTGCTATTTCAAGGATTTCAACTTTTGTTCCCCAGTATTATTGGCTTGGGCTTCAAGGTAGAGTATATCATTTGCAGCTATCCAAAAAGTAACTGACAAAATTGTTGTTGAAAAGCTTACTTGGTTTGAAGATAGTAATGTTGCTAAACATCCTACAAAAAGTTTTTTTCTAGCATGCTGTCCTTTTGAAGAAAAAAATAAAAGAAGGCCATTTCCAAAAGTGACGCATCATTTTTGGAAATTTCAGTCAGCAGTTGGTTGGTAATTTGGCAAATCCGTGCATGGGTGCGTGCAAGCGTTGACAAGACGTGCGTGCAAGTGTTAACAAGACCTGCGCGGAAGCGTTAACAAGTTACACACGTGCGAGCGGTTGCTCTAATTTGTTGACTCGGTGCGTGACATCGCTGCAATGACGTAGCTGCAATCAGCTGAATGAGAACGTGTCCTGGACGCTCATTTTGGGCGCAATTCAAAAAATGACTCGGCAACTTTTGAATTGAAATCGAGATCCTAGAATATTGTTTTCTCGGAATATACAGCATTCACAGAGCTAAAACCTCATCAGGTTAGTTGTTAAGCACCCTTCTTTAGATTTAGAGCCCTTTTGTTGCTTCAAACGAAAAAAGTGCACAAATGACAAATGATACACTGTACCTTTAAATCACCTTTAGTTATTAAAGTTTGTTTCAAGCACTAGTTCTGTACATAAAATCTTGATTGATGTATTACCCTGGAACAGAGGAAGTACCCTAATACCTTAAGGAAAGTTCTCCTCTTGGTAGAAGACGCCAGTAGTGCGTGGTCCAACTTCAGGCTCAGGTCTTCCAAAAGGAAATGGAGCTCTGGCGGTTGAAGCTTCAGCACCACAACCTCCTGCAAACATTTGGCACGAATATAATCAGAACAAAGTCAGGACGATGTTGATTGATACTGATCTTTTACTACAAACTGGAGCTCAAGTGTAATACATTTTAGTCTAAACAAGTAAACATGCATAATTTGAATTCTATAAAGCTGCCTACACTTAAGACTAGTCTTCAGACAACATAACTGGAGCTACTTTATTAACAAGTAAAGCAAAACAACTCAGTGGTGTATATGTTGAACAACGTTGGGGCAAGGACACTGCCCTGTGGTAAACCATTCTTCTGGCGTCTCCATCGGCTGTTCTGACCATTCAAGTGGACGAAAAAGCGGCGATTTTCCATCATTGTCATGATGAACTAGACAAGATGAGAGTCCTGTGGTGTTTGTTGCAGCTTGACTTTCATGGTACCAACAACTTTTTGATACCAAAAACATAAAAATTGGACCACGGGTTGCCGCACAGCAAACATGAAATTACCCATATACGATGTGTACACAGAGCAGAATTACCATTCATGCATATGAATAATTAATTAGCCATAATTCCAAAACGCTTTGATCTATAGTCAGGAAATTTCTTGGGTGTGTTCATGATAAGTTGTTCTATACATGTTCCGAGTTTCAAAATTTTTCCTCACTCGATGGCCGAGATCTCTCACCCCCCCCCCAAACCCGGCTGAGAGATGGTCAAAATAACCCGGCCCTTTTAGGGTTAATAGATAAACCAGTTTTACCAGATAACCCAGTTTTATCAGATTAGCCAGTTTTACAAGTTAACACAGTTAGAGTTTAAGTTGGTGACCCAAGTTGACCAGATTACCCAATTAATCCAGGGTTACCAGAACCATGCTAATTTTCTTTTGATTTTCTTTATTTCTCACCCTTGTGTGCATCTCTGAATCTAAGACACTCTTCGTCACCAGTCCGCAGCCAAGTATATTGAAGACATCAATGTCGAGCTCCCTAAAGTAAGTCCTATACCGAGACAAGTCCACAGCCCCCTTGGTGACAGACTCTGACCCGCCCGCTTCGGTATCTGTAGATCTGTTCTGGGTTGTGTTCTGGGTTGTGTCCAGGCTTGTGTCCTGGGTGCTGGAGTGAGCAACGGTGTCGTTCAAGATACCGGATGTGTTGGCGGCATTTTTCTCCTTCCTATTTCGAGCGAGAGAGCAAGAATTATTGGGAAAAACTTGAACATCGGTTGAACAGAGATGAGATTGACAATTAAAATAAAAGCCTGAAAATTGATGAAAGGTCTGAAAGATGCATATGTCTTTCTCTCAGATTCAAAAATTTTGATTTTAGACAAAAGTATGAAAATATCAAGTCTGGTTGAAGCATAAAATTTAACAAGTGTAAATGTAGTTGACCAATTTTATGAAGTGGAGAAAAAAAAACCCTTAATGGTTCAAACTCAACTGTTATACCGCTGTCTTGAATGCTGTATTTTCATTGGCCTACAACGATCACGTGTTAAGTTTATGAAAAGGCATAGCACACTCCCTGTGGGATATCACATACGTGATATCCAAGTGTGCTATGACTTTGTACATGCGATACATTCGGTGTGAAACGCTTGTATCGTTGGTACCCATGCTATTTTCACCATGTTTTCACACATGAGTGGGAGCGGCGAACTAGCAGACGATCAGCTGTTTCGAGCACGCAAAATGCATGTGAGTTGATGTTCGTTTGACATGATTGTTGTGTTTACTGCTGTTTATTTTTGTGATTTTTCATCAAAATCCAAAGAATCCAAGACAGAGGTATACCAAAACAATTGTTGACTGCTGTGATGTGGGATATGACCTTTTGAACACCCTAGGGGTGCATAGCACCCCCGCATAGCACAGGTGCTATGCGCCCCTCGGGTGTTCAAAACGTCATATCCCACATCACAGCAGTCAACAATTGTTAATTATGTTACCTCCCGAGTGAAAGTTGGAAAAAATCACTCGGGTGGGACTCGAACCCACGACCTCCTGCTTTCTAGTGCAGATGTCTTACCACTTGACCACCGAGCTAACGGGATCGGTTGGCCGGTTCGAATCTGATGTACATAGCAGCGGGTACCGCACAAACTATTATAAGATGGAATTTTGTGTCGGGGCGCAAATCTGCACTGGTAAGACATCTGCACTAGAAAGCAGGAGGTCGTGGGTTCGAGTCCCACCCGAGTGATTTTTTCCAACTTTCACTCGGGAGGTAACACACTGAGTATACAGTGTTTAAAAAACGTCAGTGAAAGGCAAAACCTAATTTGATTTATATCACCCCGACGCAAAATTCCATCTTATAATTGTTAATTATAAAAATATGGAGATAATATGAGGCTAATTGCTGCCTTGAAATTTCTAAAGTTATATCTGTATACAATATGACAGCTACAATTTACAAGTTTAGCAACCTTTCAATATGTGCATTTTTTTAAAAATCTGTCACGTATACGTAGCGTATGCATTTCATTTTAACGGACATGAAATATCGATGTATCTGTCACATATACGTTGCATATGTGTTTCATTTTAACGGACATGAACATTCAATATCGTAATGTGGCACGCGTAGCGTGGTTTCGATTGGCTGTCAAATCGCTCCATGGAGTGATTTTGACGGATACGCAACGCATACGCAACGTTTTCATTAAACGGATCAAAATGCGCACGTTACGAAAAGGCGGCTTTTACAGTGGTGTCACCAGAGGGGGGTGTCACATGTCCTGCCACATTTCTTGTTTTTATGTCGGCAAAACTGTGTCCGTATTGGCACAGGGATGTATCAAAACGGTCTCTGATGTTTGCATGAAATTTGAGGTATACAGTATACATGTACACAGGTCAGTAGGATGGTAGTATGTTGTTAACAATTTTTTAACTGAAATCCAGAAATTGCAGGAGGACATTCATCCCTGCTGGCAAAATCACGTGCTTGTCAACAAAATCATGTTGATATGCCACGATGAATAGTGCCACCTATTGAATGACAATGGCCATTTATGTCCCCTATGAACAGGGCTCCCATTTATTTTCAGTCGGTGTCAAGCCACCCCCTTGGGGGGGGGGGGGGGAGGGGCTGGCTGGCAGGTGACAGGGGAAAATTCCTGTCTACCTTCCAGCCTTCCAGCACGGAGTGGTCTTTCGGCAAATTAGTCATCACCCCACCTCCATTCAAATTCGTCTGGGGACTCCCAGACCAGTCATCAAGTTATTTAGAAGTCCAGCTCTTGCATATTCTGGTCAGTTGGTTTCTGGACAATTACTGCAAGGATAAACCACTGATCTCTGTATAAAGACTGGATAGCGTACAGAAAGCCGCAGAAGAGCGCCATTTGAAGCCATATTGGAGAGACCGGCTGGTGATCTATAGAGGACAAGTTGCCGTCATTGTATATTGTGGTTCGCCTGGTTTACATTTTGTCCACCGCCACTGACCACGTTTTATAATTTGTCAAAAGTTGTGGTTTACTTTTGAATGCCACAGTTCACCTTTTGCGACGTTTGGAAATATAATCAAGACAGAAATTTGTCCTTTTTAGATCACCACAATACGTGTACGTGATCAAAATGCACATCAACTCATGCACACGCAGAACGTTTGTATATACACGGCCATTTTTGAAAGACCGGGGGCGAACTGGTCAAAATGTAAATTCAAGCCTGTGACTCGTGTGGGGGTTTCCGCTAACCAGTCTTTATATAGAGATGAGTGGGATAAACTCTACTTCCATTTGTGATTGCACCAATGTCACTCACTCCTTGGGCTTTCGTCCTCTTTTGCTCCCGACGGTAGCTGTGTTCGTTGGGCCGGATGTGGAAGTTGAGGCACCATCGCTACTCAGAACTGAATCGTTGTCAAAGTTGGCCAGGGGCGGGCTGAAGTTAGGGGTTTCTGCAAGCACGCATGATTGGACAAAATAGCATGTGTTTGTGGATTTATAAAGATGTTCAAAATTGACGGTTCTCAGAAGGCAAGGTCTGCTTTTTTTAATATCTCGGAGCTGAGGTGAATTATAGAGCGAGGAGAGTTGATAGCAATGTGTTGCATATGAGCCAGTATATGGGCGCCAGTTAGTGCACATATAAAGGGGAGAAAACACAACAAATTTTCTGAGTGTTCACAAATCCAAAGTGTCTTTGCAGAGGACTGGAAACTGGAAAGATGCTCAAGTGTCCTTTTCACTGTTGGGGGAGGGGGGGGGGGTGCAATGATGTCCGCAGCATTATTTGCAATTACACAGGAACTTAATGAGTAAATACTTAACCCCTTAGCACCTGTGCTACATTGTACTACATTGTACTACATTGTACTACATTGTACTCCATTGTATTACATTGTGTTTATTCACTGAAGAATCAATAAAACTATAATGCTACAGTGAGTAATTGGCAGGGCAGTTCTGGGCGCTACAATTACTAAAGGGTTCATTTGGAAAAAGACTTGATGATACCACAACATGTGTAAAACTGTTTTACCTGCCATAATGAACCAAAACAATTCAAGATAAATAACTGCTATCTGTTTATCATACCTGCCAAGCACGTCTGTAGATGTTTCTGGACTTCTGTGATGTTCTTGAGTCTCGCCAGCACCTTGCCCCGCATCTCAGCATCTGTCAGTCCACTGAAGGCATTCACAATCTACAAAATAATAAGATAAATACAATAATTTATTGGCTGTATCTAGCGTTTTCTACCAAAGTCTCAAAGCACTTCACAATTATTACCCCTGTTCATCAGGCCATGAGACCAATTATCAGCAGCAACTCGAGATCAGCGCAATCTGGTCTCTATCCTCACAGTTACCTCTTGATACTCCTGAAGAGAGGCAAATAAAGTGTCTTGCCTCAGAGCACAAGCACCCTAATTCCCTGTCAGGATTTGGACCCACACACCACTGCACACAAGTCGGACTCAACAACCACTGGACCACGGCATGCAAAAAGTGATCAACCACATTTCATGTATACATTTTTCTCCAACCCGATTATTTTGGTACAACTGACAAACCATAAACATAACCCTGCTACTCACTGTACAACCTTATTGAACATTACTTGTCAAGTACCAGTGTGAGTACATTTCCAAGAGTATGAGTGTACATGTACTTCAGAGAGTAAAAGTAACAATTCCATGAGCAGGAGTACGATTATCAGCACGAGTATGAGCACAAGTACGAATACAAGTACAAGTACAAGTACAAGAACGAGTACGAGTACAAGTACAAGTACGAGTACAAGTACAAGTACGAGTACGAGTACGAGTATGAGCACAAGTACGAATACAAGTACAAGTACAAGAACGAGTACGAGTACGAGGACGAGGATGAGTATGAGCACAAGTACGAATACAAGTACAAGTACAAGAACGAGTACGAGTACGAGGACGAGGACGAGGACGAGTATGAGCACAAGTACGAATACAAGTACAAGAACGAGTACGAGTACGAGTACGAGGACGAGGACGAGTATGAGCACAAGTACGAATACAAGTACAAGTACAAGTACAAGAACGAGTACGAATACAAGTACAAGTACAAGTACAAGTACGAGTACGAGTACGAGTATGAGCACAAGTACGAATACAAGTACAAGTACAAGAACTAGTACGAGTACGAGTACGAGTACGAGTACGAGTACGAGTACGAGTACGAGTACGAGTAAGAGTATATATGAGTATAAGTAGAGTGAGAGCTGCTTTTGCTGGGTAGACATGTTTCCAAGTACTTCTTGTCAGAATAGGCATCACTGAAAGCGGAAAATGTGTGTGTGGGTGGGCTGTCATCACGTTTGCTAGTAAGCTTTTCATTGTTAGGAAAATTAAGACCGAGTTATGGGGACTTTCTGCTGTCCCCACAGTGTCTTCGGTCCCCAAAGTACCATGGGACAACAAGTGTGTAGTCCCCACAGTTAGGGAACAAGAATGGGTGCGTGTGTTCAAGAGTTGATCGGTCACTGTTGATCCCACGCAGAGCATGTGACAGGGGCGGCGGTGAAGCCAAAACATATATGCAAAAGCCATTCAAACAGAAGGAGAAGCTTCTTTCCCTGCATTTCCCTCTGTGACTACAGGTACTTTGCCATGAGTGCTGGTAAATTCTTTCTCATGAGTACAATTATGAGTATGAGTCATAGAGCTATATCAAATTACTAGAGCGCTAACTCCTCATTCTTGATATGAGTACTACAACAGTGATGAGAACTACAACAGTAATGAGTACTACAGAACTGACTCCTACCTCTCTGAACCAGTTGATGGTCAGGAACAGACAAGTGCAGAGCATCTCTCGCTCATTCTTGGCCAAGGAACTGATCTTAGATATGACTTCATTGCTGACGTTATAGAGTGGGCAGCCTAACAGTGCATCGATCCCCTCCATGTTATCGTTCTGCGCCATCTCACACATCCTCAGCAGGCGGAAGTGGGGAGTCATGCAGAGGGGCGAGACAGTGCGAGATCTGAAGGGAGCAAGTAGGGAAGAAGGGTGGGGGGGGGGGGGAAGAAGTGCACATGAAATTTTACCACTAATAATTGAGAGGCGTTCTGGAAAAAAAAAATGAACAAGGTTGATTATTTTCCAAATTTTCCGATTTACTTATATTTGCGGTCTTTTACACATCTACTACACATATATGTTAAAGATATATTATAAAATATGTGGAGTGAAAGTGTTTTTAAGGAAAAACACTTGGCATCTTTCATATTCACATGAACAAAACTCAAAACTTTAACGGCCTTTTCTCAGTATTTTACTTTTTTGACATGTCGATAAATGCAAATTTTAAACAGCTGTAACTTGTCAACAGAATGTCTGATTGAAGTGCAACAAACAGCATTGTAAGGAGAATTTATTCTCTTTCCTAATACCCGCAACCCTCATTTCGACCTCTGCCAAGCTCTGTCTTATTTTGCCAGAACGCCTCCCGATTCAGTAAAACTTTTTTTGCACTCTTCTTTGGAAGAACATTTCCAAACAATCGTTTACAAAAAAAGTTCCAGTACAGAATATTTACTCGTGGAATGGCACAGGCATTCCTTTGTCATTCTTTGTATTGTTTTGATCGTGATTTTGATTGTGTCGTAGTGGAGTCTATCACAAGTTTGATCAAAAGTAGATCCCAAGTCCTTTTAACGAGTCTAGTCACAAGTAACAGGGGATGAACAATCACAAAGGAATGCCTTGTCACAGCTCATTTGAATAACTTGTGACTTGACTTGGGACTGGAGAACTTGTGATGGACTTGTAACCACAACACTGTTCAATTGAAACCCTGGAAACAAAAGTGCCAATCCGCCGTTTCTTCCACCCGTTTGAAACTGGCATTCCAGGGTCAAGAATTACGTTTTCAACTTGGCTTTACTCAGTGTGACTTGAAAAGATTGGGGTAAGGGTGGCGTAGCGGTACTTTCCTCCCCTTCCACCGCTGTGACATGGGTTCAAATCCCACCTGGGCCAACGTGTGGATTGGGTTTTCAGTCCCTACATCATTCTGGAGTTTTCCTCCCACCACTAAAACTGTAATTTTCCTTCTACATCTTCTACCAAAAGACCCCACTAGAAGTAAGCCCTATCCATCCTGTTCTGGCCCTTGCGCTATTGGATGTTGTCGAAATCAATAAAAATTAACTAAAATTATAAAAAATAAATAATCAGATGTCAGTTTTAAACAGGTGAACTTTGCTTTCAACCGACAAATAACTGCGATAGTCGATCTTTCAATGTCGTCGTTCCGGTTTCAAATGTCAAACTTTTCGCACCCTAACTTCAAATCTCTGGAACAGTTTTATTCAGAGCGACTCAGTAACTCTAGTCCAAAACAGGTGCGAGCAACCCATCTAACCTGTCAGTTTCTGATTCCTCATTTGGCAATGAGCCAAGGTTCAGCTGGGCCCTCTCCGCCTTACTGACGAGGGGCAGCAGGTTGATGGCCACGCCCCCCTGGGACTCTTCAGCTTCCAGACCGTACACCTCACTCAACGGCAAACCGTAGTCCCTTGGGTGAAAAATAGATAAGAAATTCTTTATTACTTGGTACTTGGTTGGTTCTTCTCCTAAATACTCCACCGGGGAGTTTTAACAACAGGAGGCCAGAAACACAGGGGCAAACCTCTTTTATATTCTTCAAGTTCTTCTTTCTGTGGCGTGTCCTTTCCTCATTGACAGACCGTAGTCCTTAAAAGATGTGCTATCCACGCTTTTCAACAAAGTTGAATTCCTTTTCTCTTTACACAAATTTTGAATTGTATGTTTTATATTTAACGAAGAAAACAAAAACTACTTTTATAAATTTTTGAGCATCTGCAGATCTCTGAAGAAAAAAGCTTTTACTTTGGGTTGCTGGTATGCACCCAAACCAGTCTACAATGAGTAGACTGGTTTCCGGTCCTTCATTATCGCTTCTGATAGGGACAGAGAACCAGTCTACCATGCAAGAACTGAATTTCTGTCAGACTGCAAATAATTAAAAGGGCCTATGCGATGTATCTTTGTTTAATGCAATCCTTGAAAATGTATCTTTGTGTCCCATTAAACCTTATTTTAAATTTTCGCTTTGCCATTTTGGTGCCTTTTTGGTTTTTATGGTAAAGCACATTTCCATATTCATGAGCAAAAGTGTGATGTCATTCAGACAGAAACCTCAGCGTTACAGTTATTTCAGCACCAAAGGTTGCCAGAATTTCAGATATTTTGTTGCTGTAATTTGTTTCTTTGTTGGTGATTCGATGTTGTGTCGGTACACCAATGAGCAAACTTTGCTCACAAACGTTTTCAATGAGCACATTTTTGGGTTCACAATTTGAACACAAAACCCCTAAACTGAGCAGCGCCTTCTTGAAATGACATCACAGCAACAGCGCCCTCAGTTGCACAATAAAGCGTGGTCAAATTTGAAATGTTTAAAGAAGTGCACGTTTCAATAAAATTAGCCAAAAAGAGATGTCATACAGTTTTCATACATCTAGGAGGAGAAATTTGCACAGAATATGTTCCTTTTAAACCACAGCCAGGTTCCACTGTTTTAAGTCCAAAGCAACGTTTCACTCCATTAGAACCATTGGCAAAGATAAAGAAAGCAAAGTGTATAGTGCATAGTTTCTTTCATTCATATAATTCTATCAGTTAAGTTTATCGTCAAAAGAATTTGTTTTACCCCGAGACTTGATCAGCTTCGACGTCGACAACAAAGTCATCTTGAAAGTCATTCAGAATGCTATCGCCTATAAATTCCTGGGAGAAAAATTTATAAAAAAGGCATTTAAAGGGAATATACAACATTTGCAAACATCGAAAAATAAAAATACCAAGTTTTTATGAAATACCTTACTAGGATGTTGGTAAATGACAGTCTAAAGCATCCTGTAAAATTATGGCACCTGGTGTGAAGTCAATTTCAAGAAAATTGTATTTTTGTATAAATTTCCAACAGTGGTCGGCCGACCACCGTTGGAAAAACCTAACTATTTTTCAACTACTGCTCTAATCCATCATTTTTTCCAGTCCAAATTTTGTTTGCTATTGGTTACATGTTCATGAACGGGTGCAGGCCAGGTAGACTGGTTCCCTTACCCTACAAATTTCTGGCATCTATAAATTGATCCATTTTATCTTTAGTGGAGTCAGGGAACCAGACTACTCCACCATTTGTGTTTTTCTTGGTTTTCCAGCATTTTCGAACACAAAACTTCAAACATATCAGTGGAACAATATTTGATCTATCATAGCAACCCCTCAAATAGTTCATTTCTGAGAATTACAGCAAAACCCAATGATGTACATTCCCTTTAATAACATGTTGATAGTTTGGACATTTCAACAAGATAACGCAAGCCTGGTAAAGCCAGCCCCACGCCAGTCAAAATCAGAGCGCACAATATTCTAACCAATTGATTTGGAATTGCTGTTCACACTGGAATTCTTCTCATGCATCTGGTCTTAACACAATGAGGCAGATGTAGCCTTTACGGGAATCAAGTTGGCGTAGCAGTTTTGCCCCGCTTTCCACCGCTGTGACCCGGGTTCGATTCCTGCCCTGGTCATATGTGGATTGGGTTTTGAGTCTCTACCTTAGGGAGCACAGCGAATACCCTGACGCAGGAAAGCCTTTAAAAAGGCCCAGACATGCCGAAGCTAAGCCTTGGCCCCACGGCCTTTTTAATCCCCATCCAATGACAATAGACACAGACCCTATGAATAGACGACAAGCCCAGACTTGGCTGACAGATCAGCTTCCTTTTGTGTGCCAGCTGGCCAGGCGCATTCCAGTATAACACAGGAAATGGGCCCCCACCCCAAGAATATTATCCTGGGGTTCCCTATCTCTAAAAAAAAAATTGTTTTTTTTTTTCATTGTCTTCTATTAATTAACAGGTTTCTTCAGGCTTGAGAGCTACAGTGCATAGGTCACTTTTGAGGAGTAATAAGAATTAAGCAGCGTTACGGGATAATCCTATATAGGCTATCAGCTTCAGTCCAAACATTGGGCCACCGATATCAAATGATCGAAAGAAGCAATGCTCATAGCGATTTTTGGCAAGGTATGCACATCTGGAGTTGGAAAATGTGTGATAGCTTTGCAGTGTGAGCGGTGGCGTATTTTTGGTGTTATCACTTTTAATTGTTTTTTTTTTTAACTGGCCGCCAATATGCTTGTTACTGGATTAATTTAATGTGGCAACAAGCATGTTTTGGCGCCATTTTTAAAAAAAAAGTAATAGCACCTAAAAAAGCTGCCACCGCTGCAATGCTATCACATACAGGGGTGCATACCTTACCAAAAATCACAATGAGCATTATTCCCCTCATTTGATACCGACTAAACCCCCAGGCTGATGGCCTAATACAAAAGCACTGCCCAGTAAACTACAACCAGTCAGAAGTGTCAGTCAGTCAGTCGGGGAGTCGGTCAGTCAGTCAGTCAGTCAGTCAGTCAGTCAGTGAGATAGTAGCCTTTAGTCAAGGCGCACATGTCTACCCGGACGCCTGGCGCCCCAGATTCTGGCACGAAAAAAAGACCAGTCGAGTGGCGAATCCACGAGCGCCTTTACCATCTCGTGGAGCTAATCATTATTCATTTTTTTTCAAGTAATATGAATCACGCATGATTGTATGCGTATGAACCAATCACCACGAACAAGCCATTTTTGAGGTGATGACACGTGTGCACGCCCTTGAGCGTGCGCGCCACACGCGTTCTAAAAAAATACAAGACGCGCACGCATTCACAACATGTCATGCATCATGCATGAAAATTTGTCTACCGAATTGGTAAACAAATTTCATGGACAAAAAACATAGGCGCTCTCCATGAAATGGTAAAGGCCCTCGCGGCTTCGCCGCTCGTGCTAGCCTTTTTACGTGTCGGCATCCGGGGTGCATCACGTGTCTGGGGTAAGCGCGTGGGACTTGGCTAAAGGCTAGTGTGATAGGCACAAAGAGGACATAGGCGCTCTCCATGAGATGGTAAAGGCCCTCGCGGCTTTGCCGCTCGTGCTAGCCTTTTTACGTGTCGGCATCCGGGGTGCGTCACGTGTCTGGGGTAAGCGCGGTGGACTTGGCTAAAGGCTCGTGCGATAGGCACAATGAGGACACTAGGCTGGCAGTCTGGGACCAGCACAAACTGGCGTCCTACAATGCAGTCATGCATGCAATGTACAACTGTAAAATATGTGCCAAAATCAAAACTATTTCGTACTCTGATAGAGTTAACTTGTTTCAAATGACAGAGTCACACAGTATGTCCCCCCCAAAAAGTGTCTGTCTAAATATTTTTGAAATAACAACAAAACCACAAACAAAATTTTAAATTGTGCAGATACTCCTAATCCTTGGCCTCAACCCCTACGAGTTTTATTAAATTTTTTCACACGCCTCACTGCACAATGGTCAATTGATCACAACCAAATTTTTGGACACCGTGACCAAGTTCCTTGCCTTAATCAATTTCAGTGCTGTGTTAAGTGAGCTGTGTAAAATTCTTCATGTTGTGACAAAGGGCTGCGGTTGGGATTGGAATCATTTGCCTGGCTATCAGTCATCATTTGCCCTTGAGCATTAAACTGAGGTCTAGCTATGATGACCGATAGCCAGGCAAATGATTCCAGTCCCCAATACAAGCAAATACAAAAAAGTGAGCATACTTCTACTTTCTGGTCCAGCTGTCGCTGTTCCACAATGTTGGCCAATTCATCAAAGAACAGTGCTGACGCCTCAGGCATTTTACTGCTACTGCTCCTGACTTGCCCCAGCAACGACACAATCTGGGGTTAAAAACAAAAACCATCCTGAAGTTTAATTTTCAGATCAGATCCAACGGTTCATCGAAACTTGACAAATGTTTTAACTGGACCCAATACAGGGCGAGTCAAAAAGGAAGTGACCTGAATTAATTAATTTTTTTTTATTAAAAAGCAATCAAATCTGATACACCAAATGAAGTATGTATTACAAGACCATGATCTTCCCATCATCTGAAGAAAAAAAAAAGTTATCTGAAGTTCTGCATGTTTTACTAAAAGAGTTGAAAAAAACGGAAACCCACAATATGTATTTCATATTTAAACAAATATTTAGCACCAAACATAATAATGCAGGGGCAGATCCAGGAATTTTCGCAGGGGGGTGTTTTCATCAGCAAACAAATCTGAAAATGTACACGGTTTTTTTTCTCCGGACACTTTGCCTCCGTAAAATCAAAGACTGGGGGGGAGGGGGGGGGGGGGAAGGGGGGCTGTTACCATATTTCAATAGGGGGCGCTGTTCAAATCCGACGATTATTAACACTAGATTACAAAATGGTGTACCGTATTTTGAAAAGGCGGACATTACACCAGTGTAAATTTTGGGCGGGTGTCACGGCGGGTGTCACAGGGGGGGTTTCGACTTATTTTTTAGGATTTGTATGATAATTTTTTTTTTTGGACAGAGCTGGGGGGGGGGGGGGGGAGGTTTGACCCCAAAACCCCCCCTCTGGATCTGCGCCTGTAATGACTTGAATGACGACAAGCGCTCAGACAGCTTGATTTGTGAGGACCAAAAGTTGGTTCCCCCATAATCTCTTCCCGCAGTTGTTATACCAAAACAGCAAAATTCCCATGGTAAAGTCTCAGTGAACGTTCGTACAGGGTGACCCCCCAAAAAGTTGTGCAAGCAAATTATTGTTAAAATTCTCAAAAAGTACCTTACATGAGTGTTTCATTTTGATGGAGCATATTAATTATACTCTTTGTGTATTATCAGTGAAAATGCCATGGAAACCCATTCATGAAAACCAAAGCTGTATTAATATTCCAATGGGAATCGCTCGACCAGCACTCTGCAATGGGTCTTGTCATTATTGTAAATCACATTGGAACAGGGGAAAAAACACATTGCCATTTATAACCTGTTGTATCTCTGGTTTGCATGAATGGATTTTCATCAAAGTTTTTGCTGTGATTATACACAAGAGTACAAACAATATACTCCATCAACATGAAATGCTTTTTGAGAAATTTAGAGATGTCTGCTTGCACAACTTTTTTTTGGCTCACCCTGTATTCTAGTTTTTAACAATCTTTTCAAATACTACCATTTCGTGGTAAATGCGTTTTTCGGGCATGCAACTGGGAATTTAGAAAAAAGGAGGAAATCCCAAACCACACAAGACTTTGTACAGTGTTTTTCAATTTTTAACCCTCCTACTTTTTAAGAGGTCACCATGGTCAAAATGTTTGTATCTCACCTCCTGGCATACTGTGTACAAACCAATAGGGGTCTTGACCAATATTGACCCAAGTAATAACCAGGCTGACAATGCATGTTTCCATAGGAGGGTAATGGCATTCATGAGAAGTAAAAAACAAGGAAATCAGCGGATCCGAGGAAACGTTGCATGCCTGGTTTTTGAACCCGAATGGATGGATTCTTTCTAGGCGCTCCTTAAATGTCCAGTTGACTTCTTTGAAATTTTATTGAAGAGGAAGAATTCTTACGGTGTTGTACATTGTTTGCTCCTTTAATGTCCAGTTGAGTTCTTTGAAATTTTATTGAAGTGGAAGAATTCTTACAGTGTTGTACACTGTTTGCTCCTTTAATGTCCAGTTGAGTTCTTTAAAAGTATATTGAAGTGGAAGAATTCTTACAGTGTTGTACATTGTTTGCTCCTTTAATGTCCAGTTGAGTTCTTTGTAATTGTATTGAATTGGAAGAATTCTTACAGTGTTGTACATTTCTGTAGAGAGCTCCCTCCCTTGACCGGGCTCCTGACGGAACGCCATGTTGCGTACGATCATGAGGGAGCCGATCACGCCAATCCGCTTATACTTGGGACTGTTACTGGACAGCTGTTTCCTGATGACAATGTGCAACTCATCCTGTAGTTGAGAGAGAAAAGAAGCACACAGAAAACTCATTTAACCCCCTATAACTTCCTCAGGACTACCCTGCTAAATCCAACAGAGTCCAACCGGACTTTCCTGCTCAATCCACTGTGCCTCATTTCAGTTGTCTGCTGAATCCAACGGAGTCCAACATGGCGTTATAATGGGGTTCAGTTTCCTGCTGAATCAAACATTTTGCATGAGGAATGTACACCAGGGGTTAAACTGCTCAATCCAACAGGCTCCATCGGGTATGTGACACAGTTGAATCCTGTTCGATTCAGCAGGGTTAGGGTTAAAGCAACAACACTATAAGTGATTATCATATAAAACAATGACGAGCAATAATGAGGAAAAATACATGATTATCAATATACAGCCAAAGTCATTGGCTGCATGTTTCGCAAGCACATGAACTCTTGAACTTTTTGGAATACTCAATGAAATGAAATTGATTGACCGTCAATGAAAATGAACTTCATGAATACCTAAGCCAGTTTACCCATGCCTATGTTGGTCGAGAGCTTGTCACTGGGAGTGGTTTTAAACCGCTGATGAAACACTGGCTGGTTTTAAACACATATTCCTGCACCGCTGCATTCTGCGCCACACTGTGCAGTACGTGCGTACCCCAATCTCCATGAAAGTAGATTTTCAGCACTACGAGCGCAATGCACACATCATAGACACAGCCAAGGGGGTGTTTATTCATGAACATTTGCCTGAGTCAATAAAATCAACTGACCTGTATGTTGGCACATTCCTGGGTGTTTCTGAACGCGAGGACGCTGAGGATGGAGAACAGTTTGCGGATCTGCGGCAGAGACAGGTTGCCTAAGTAGTCCAGCACGCCCTGGGAAAAATCAATCACAAAATGAGTCTCAAATTAGCAAATGAATAAATGAAGGTCTCTGAAGCCCGGTTCATACTTCACGCGAATGCGAAGCGAATTTGACGTCATGGCACGTTCGCTGTGAAATTCGCCCGAGTTGAAATATGTTAAACTTTTACGAATTCGCAGCGCGAATACTTGACATGACGTCACAAATTCGCCTTCGAGCCGACTATGAGGGATTTAGAATTCATTATTCAGGAATGTAAGTGGAAAAGTAACCCAAAAAACAAAGAGGGAATTCCAAGCTTTAATAATAATCATTATTATGCTTTAATAATAATAATTATTATTATTACCCTGGATTGGACATTTGGGAGACATCCCCATAGACTTGTGCACACAATTTTCAAACTTAAATGTGCCTAACCCATATTCCCTTGTCCTTTTCCCACGAATTTCGGTATGTTTACTAATTAGACCACGAGCAACAAATATAAACTAATTTTGACAGAAAAAATTGTGCCTCTAAAGGGGGGGGCTGTGAATGACCAATGTCTCCTATCATGTGAAGAAATTACGATAACGTGTCTCCTTAGTGGTACCTTTACATGTATAATAATATTGGCTTCTTTTATAGCGCTCATGTCCGTCACGAAGTGATGCTCCTGGCGCTCTATTATTCCCCTGGCTTAGCACGGCTGCCATTACGGCGCTCAAGCATTGAAGGATTTATTCCTACCAGGCACCCATTTACTACACCTGGGTGGAGAGAGGCAATCGTAGTAAAGTGCCTTGCCCAAGCGCACAAGCACCATGTTCCCTGTCAGGATTCGAACCCATATACCATGGCTCACGAGTCGAACACCGTAACCACTGGACCACAGCACCCCACACCTTTACAAGAGTTTATACAGTGTTTTTCAATTTGTAACTGCATAAGTGTGAAGTGAAAAACGAGGACAATGCTGGTCTCGAGGACAAGTTGCATGTTTGATTAAAACTAGTACAGTTTTGAGGATTTGTGGTGTATCATTTCTTAAAACAAAAGTGGAGTGTCATGGCCTAGCGGTTAAGAACACCGGACTCATGCTCCGGTGTTTCAGAGGCAACAGTGGCGTGGGTTCGAGCCGCCGCCGGTGGACACTGTGCCCTTGAGCAAGGCACTTAACCATTATTGCTTCGTCCTTCGGATGGGACGTAAAGCCGTAGGTCCTGTGTGTTGTGTAATCCAATGCACGTAAAAGAACCCAGTGACACTTATAGCCAAGAGAAGGGGTTTGCCCCAGTGTTCTGGTCTCCTGTATAAACTCCCACGCGGAGTATTAAGGAGATGAACCAACAAGCAAACCAAGAAAACAAATTGCCCAAAAATCACCAGAAGCAGTAAGTGCACCCCAAGGATCCCTCAGTTTGTGACACCTTGTGAGGACACAGAACAGCCGGTGACTGACTTTCAGGACTCGAGCTGCATCTGAAACTATAAGAATATCCGTCGTGGAAAATATTAGTCGCTAATTTTTTACGACCGAGTGTAACTGCGATGATATTGAGAACAATTGGCATCGGTTGTTGCTAAAAAACAAATCAACAGTCGCAAGTGTAAACAAATTCAGGGATCAACCTCAAAACAGCACTTGCTTAATTGTGTAGGTACCTTTATGAAAA